TAATGAGGCCTCATCTTTGTTATTTCTGCTTTAAGTTTCAGAGCCATATAACACAGCTGGTCTAATCAACGCTTTATATAGTTTGATCTTGGTCTTGCCAGACAGACACTTTGACTTTAGCAGATGTTGAAGGGCATAGTATACTTTTTTCTAGATTGTATTCTAGATTGTATTTCATCTCTCAGCATGTTGGAGCAGTTGAAGTTTGCACCCAAGTACTCATGAATGCAGATTCATCATGCCAACATATGCTACAGGACAAAGTCATAACTGAAGTCAATTGGGCGACATTTATCTCATGGCTGGTTCCAAAGCAGAACTCCAAGAACTTAATTTTAAAAAACTAGAGACTATTTGTGGTAAAATGGCATGAAAATTAATACTGAGAAAAATAAGATACCAGTACCATGACAAACAGATAAAAGAAAAAACCTAGAAAAAATGGAAATCTTTCAATACCCTGGTTTCCATATATATAACAATGGCAATTGCACCGAAGAGATCAGGATAAGACTTGAACTAGCAACAGACACGCTGCCCAGGTGAATATGATGTAAAAGAGCAAAATCAGCATGGCAGTAAATATACAGTAAATATAAAAATCACTGCATTGGTATTGTCTGTCTTATATGGATGTAAGAGTTGGGCTCCAACTGCGGAAATGGAAAGGGGGCTTTTAGGCTTTCAAACATAAATGCTGCAGGCAATTTTTATGAAATGGCTATTTAGAGCATAAAACTAACAAATGTGTAAGAGACATGATAAACAAATTTGCAGGACATCAGTAGCCTCTTTTGGCAGAGGGGAATTGTCAGCACCTAGATTGGTTTGAGCAGGTGGTGAGACATTATTCGGTTGCAAAGATTATTACTTCAGGAAAGATTAGAGGTTGTTGAAGAAGGGTTGAGGTGGGGGTGGGGGGGGGGGGGAGGAAGAAGTACCTGGAATGACAACATCAAGAAATGGACTGGACTAAATTATTATACATTTGTTCAACAAACAGAAGACAGAGAAAGATTGGGGATTTTATGTGCTAGTCAGTACACCTCCACGCACTAATGGGTCAAGGGTTATGTTGTGGTAATAACAGAAGACATAATAATATAAAAACTTTGAAAGTTCCTTTTCAATCACTTCATAGAAGATTGTAATAAATAATACACTTTTACATTTCATTTGGTGGAGGAAATGTATTTTGTGTAACTATAAGAAAAATTGTTTTTGCCTCAGCTACCAAAGTCATTACCAACACATATGACTTTCCTGCCTGTATTCTTCCAAGATCTGTGTAATCGTAAGTATTTATATCTACTAGTTTTTATCCTTTTTTCTTCCTAGTTCTGCTCCTTCCCTGTATCAGACTGGAAATTGTACACAAACAGTCAAAGAAGCCAGATAAGATACTGGCTTTGAAGAAATCAGCCAATGAGTTCAGGCTCTGTTCTTCTCTTTCATATCCCTTGTAGCTGACTGGTGGTACAGTAATCAGAGATCAGCTTGTAGACTTCAATGAACAGTCCCTGAGTTCAGGATAGTTATTGCCTTTCTCTTGAATTTGACAAAGTGACTTATCCATCACACTGCACATCCAGTTTCCTGCAGTATAGACAGACTGGCAATGTACACAGTCCATAGGTTCAGGTTGTAGGTTCTGCCTCTTTGATTTGGACAGCCTTCTCCTTACACCGCAGTAGCTTGTGGCATATGGTAGACATTTCTGCAACTAGCCCATAGGATGCGGATCCAGGTTCTATATCTCGTTTAGATAATACTGGGTTCTCCTTCATGCCATCCAATACAGTCCCTTGCAGAGTTAAGCTGGGCATTGATAGTGCCAGCGTCATGGTCCAGAGTCTGCCTTATTCTTGAATAGGACAGCCTGTGATCTCTAGCCTCATAAACTCCTACACAGTGAGAACTGTCATTTCCATCACCTGCTGGAGGGTACCATCTTCTTACCTACACAAGCTGTAATGTTGGCAATGCAGATGAAAAGCCTTTCTCTGCAATCTTTAACTAGAACTGCATGTCTGGCCATTTTAGGTCCCCAACACCGTCTCTGCAGACTTCAGCTTGTCAGTCCATTTTGCATTCTTCCCCTCTTGAGACTTGTCCTAACTAGTTATAGTTTTCCAGAATACTCCTAAACTGGGACGGTGATTGGAGGATTCAGTTTGTTTGGCGCTCTGCTGTAGTTCATTCACATCGTTCTATCACTTAATTTTAAGTAGTTTATTTAAAATAAACTTTCCTTCCTTATTAAGGTGGTCCATCCTGGCACCAGTTCAGTGGGAATTTCAAATCTGCCATGTGAAAGTCATAGTGATAATAAATGCTACTGTTTAGCCTAAAAATATCCAGTTTAATTTATCTATACCAGATGCTTTGTTCAACTGTACATACATTTAATTGTGTCAGATTGTAATTTAACTATAAAAGATGTGATCACATGTGCAAACTCCAAAGTTTCACCGGTAATTCAGTTATTGATTACATTTCTTTAGTTTTAATGTAAACAAGGTAAATACAATTTCACTTATTGTGCTCAATTTTTGTACAAACCAACAACAATTTACGGATGTAACATTATTACAACTACACTGTGTTTTTATACTAGGTTGTAAAGAGTCACCTTGGAGCTTACCACTGAATCTTGCTCACAAATTTGGAGGTAAGCTAAATACTGCATTGGTAAACATGGAACCAGAAATACCTTGTACCTTGTTTAATTAGCCATTTGTGTTTGTTCATCATTAAAGACCAGTTGAATCAATCAGTTCCAAATGTGGGTTCAGGGACCCTCTATTGGGGGTTGGAGGGGGGGGGGGGAACCCACTGTACCCCAACCAGAAGTTCTAAATGGTGACTTATTATTTAGGTTTTGCCAAAGTCGGATGTTAGTTAGTTAGTTGGTTAGTTAGTTAGTTAGTGTCCTGGCACAAAAACGAAATTAATTCCTTTCAGATGAGATTTCCTCAGTGACTCAAACCAGTTTCTTCACATCCTTCTTGTCTCTGTCTTCTAAAGCATGCTCATGGAATCACTTAGAAAGCGCACACAGGGAAAATGATGTGTTTTTAGCCACATCATTGCTATTGCTGCCGTCATCCCCTCCATAGTCAGTCTACTTGTAGTCAAGGCAAAAGCCCCACCATCTTCTTTTACAGTTTTCCTTTGAACCAGAACTCTGAAAGCCCTTGGACTTTGTTGAACAAGGGATCCATCTTTGTAGATAACTGCACCTCAGTCAGCAGAATTTTCAAGAATTAAGGCTTGAACTTCTGCCTCAACCAGCAAAGGGCCTTGTTATCTGTAATCTCTATCCAGTTTTATCGGATGTGTTGGGCTGAAAGGCATAGATAGATATACAGACTACCTTTTTAATGGTAAATGCAGAAGAAATAGAAGAAAAAAATAATCAACTGTGTTTGTGCTGTCTTTTCCTGTCCCTTCATTGAGTTTTCTAGTCATAATCTGTTCTCTGTAAAGTCGATTCTTAAATGAGCTTGGCTGCAGTCACATTTGTTAAGTCAAATATAGTACATCTTGCTTGGCTGTTTTCTTCTCACAGTTATTTAATTAGCCTACTGTACTTACTAGCATATAAGACGCTCCCTTGTATAAGACACACACCAAACAATTTACATAAATTTATAGAAAAATTCATATCTGGTTCTTGCACCCATTTCAATGCATAACTCTCTAATTTCTACCTTTTATTTGCACTTTTCCACATTGTGCATGCTTTCCAAAACACATCTTGCTGAGACCACCAAAGACTTATGGGTTTTTCCCCACTAGTGAAGGTCTGAAATAGATCTTCTGACCTAATGATGTGTTCTTAGGCATATTTTATCACCCGGAGTTTAAAACTTGTGGTGTAGGAATGCTACTTACCATCTTTTTCCATATTGTGGACAACTGTGAAAAATAATGGCACATGTAGGCCTACCTTCAGTGTATAAGGCGCAGCCTAATTTTTGCACTAGTGAAGGTCTGAAATAGATCTTCTGACCTAATGATGTGTTCTTAGGCATATTTTATCACCCGGAGTTTAAAAGTTGTGGTGTAGGAATGCTACTTACCATCTTTTTCCATATTGTGGACAACTGTGAAAAATAATGGCACATGTAGGCCTACCTTCAGTGAATAAGGCGCAGCCTAATTTTTAAGGCCTATTTTGAGAACAACAAAGTTTTTCTTTTAAACAGACAAATATGGTCATTTATTTTAGTTGTTATTCTAGCTCCTCTATTCAAAAGTATTTTTGTGTTAACATCTTTGGATTAAAACATTGGTTGCTTTAAACAAGAACATCTAGGGATAAGAAAAGAGTTGAAGTCATTATAGACTAGTACTTAAAGAGTGAGGAGTGGCTGGCTGGGTGGTTAGAATGCTGGGCTCTCATGCGGGAAGACTCAGATTTGATCCTCAAAAAGAAACGGCAAATGTTTTCAGAATAAAAATCATGATCAGTTCATGGCACCTGCACTATCCATGAGACTTCAAATACTTATTCTGATGACCCCACCTCCCCCCCCCCTCCCCTGCATCACTGCATGTGGTAAACTTTCTGAATCCCAGGTTGGATGCTACTTCATCACATTATATCCTAAGAATTTATTATCTAAACTAATAAATGTTTGAGCCTGAAGCAGGACAAATAATAATACAGTGAGAAAGAAGGTTATAAAGCAACAACTGAGGCAGATTAGGTTAACCAAATTACTGGATACTGGGCAGAAGGTTAAGAATAATATATAATGTACAAGTGCTCAACATATGCATAGTGAGTTGCTTGGGACTTAATGAGTTAATACAGATAATAAAGACAGCAGTAAAGACTTAAAGAGTTAATGACCAGATATATTTACTGAAGGAAAACAATTTTGTATTTGTAGCTTGAATTCCTAGTTTTAATTTTTAAGCACTGCTTGCTTTGTATACTAAAAATTGCAGTTTGTTTGGTTTGAACAGATGTTATAGTATCTGGAGGGGCAATGATAAAACTTCGCCTTCTGCTTTTGATGAGCCTTGTGCTTTGCCCACAGGTATGGCTTCTGTACGTATGAGACTGCATTGGCCTATATAATTTTAGTGTTGCTTTTAAGCCTAATCACCGTTTAAAAAACAATCCATATTTTAAAAATGTCAGGTTTTTCCCAAATATATATTGCTAAAAAAAAAAAAACACAACCAATAACAATTCTGTTTATGGAGTAAAATAATATTTAATTGCATACTAAATAATGGGAATGTTAAATAAACACAAATATGGTAGAGAATTGGCTGGGCTACATCTTGCTGAGCTTTAAAAAACTGTCTCCAGTGACCCATGACATGGGTGCCAGTTAGCACTGTGGAAATTCTGATGTCCTTATTTCTACAAATAAATTTGTTTTCCACAACAAAACCAGACCTAAATGCTATTTTTAGCAACTGTGCTTATTACCAACTGAATAAATTCTGGAGTGGGACAGACAGAACTACAAAAATTAGATTTCCAAGAACATGTATCTTTCCCATTTCAACATACATGTCTGTGAGACATGAACACTTAACTAAACAAGCTAAACAAAGCATAAATGCCTTTAAATACAAATGTTATAGACGGATTCTAAAAATATCGTAGGTAAAGAAAAGAACAAATACATCTATACTTCAAGAACTGAATATTGAAGAAGGTTGGCTTTTTAAGATGATAAAACACAGAAAAGTTAAATATTTTGGTCATTTGAAATGCTGTGAAAGTTTAGAGAGAAAAGTAATGGAGAGGTATATGCCTGGGAAGAGAGGAAGAGGAATTCCAAAGAGAAGATGGGTGCAGGATGTGGTGGATGATCTCCAGATGGGTGTATCAGACGCAGTACATCTTGCTTGTGATCGAGAAGTTTTCCAGATGGTTGTTATGGGAGCAAGGTTCTGCAAGGGACATGCTACTGACTGACTGTACTCATTACCAGTTCCAAAAAGTTGTCCAGGAAAAAATGGTAGGAATGCTCCTTGTAAACAAGCTTCTATAGCAAGCCAGAAAGTGGATTTACTGGGCTGTGGCACAAGCCAGAAGTGCCAGGATTTGGTCAACTCAGGGCAAGAGGGTTAATGCATGTTCATTTTTTCATACATACACACATTCTGAGTCCTGTGATTTTTTGCTGATCAGAACTAATTTTTTTTTGTTAATAATTAAAGTCAAGTTTTAAATGAGAAAGGAAAGTACACCAGCCTAACACTTTCATTTAAAAGGAATGCAAGATACATTTATAGGTTCCTACCTAGAGGCTCAGTGAACACAAGATGTGCCTATTATATGTTTCTCTTGACCACCCCTTGGGCCTCTGATGCTAAACCCCCAGGACTGAAAGTGTGTTTTTTTTTAATGTTTAACTGCAGTTTGTGACATTTTTGTCAGTTTTTTTGGGGGGTTATAATTTACTCAGTATGTAAAAGCAGCATAAGGTAAAAGGCTGTTTTCACATCATCTTTGTATTGTGCATATGGTGCTAGACCAGTGGGTCGCGACCCTTTTGGACATCGAACAACCCTTTAACAGGGGTCGCATAAGACCATATAAAAACACATATTCACTGAAGTTAAGAAGTAGTAACACAAATAATGTTATGGTTAGGGGTCGCCACAACATGAGGAACTGTATTAAAGGGTTGTGGCATTAGAAAGACTGAGAACCACTGTGCTAGATTCATGTTCAATGCATCAATCATGTAAACATCACAGCAGCCACCTTGGCTCCATGGCACATTTTCAGCAGGCTTGACCTGGGAGCCAAGGTGATTCTATAAAAAATCCATCAGGATATATTGTTACCACCCAAGATATTTGGGTCAGCATGCAAGTAACTAGTAACTCTGAATATTTAATTTTTTTGTTATTTGTATTTTTTCACTCATATATTGTTATAAATTAGTTACAACTACATTGTATAAGTAATTTCATAATTCTATATACATTCCATTATTTCACTATTATTTTTTACCTACATAATTTCAGTTGTTCTCTCCATTTTTTCTTTTTACAGAAGAACTCATTGCACATTTTAGCCATAGGAAGAGAAACAAGATTGATTCATTCTCTAATGGAATATGCACAGCAGTTTTCTCCTCGGACCTTCCAGGCATCCACAACTGTTCCACTTACTGGAAAAGTGGTATTTGACAAGCATACATGGGCACCATATTTTTTACATTGTAAATTTATTATGATTTATAATTTTTGCTTTTGAACTTCTGTTTCACAGTTCTGAATACTATCATTATCCTTGAAATGCATCTGTCTTAACTGTTAATACTTAAATCATCAGGTCTTTTGTATGCCATTGGCAGCCTGATCAATATTTTTCATTTAATTTGTTGTATAAATTTGTTTTCTTCCCAGATTGTAGCATGAAAGGTTGTCCTCCTACCCAATGACTCAAGGGTTTTGCATATTTATTGTTGACAGTTTTGTTCCATTTTTGTTTGATTTATAAAATGATTTTATGAAAATGATTTTAGGTATATACAAAACATGTTTTTGTTTAATCATAAAAATAAAGACCCTTTTCTGTGTTTTCAGGCAATTGGGCACATAGTGCTAGACCTATATTTTATAGACCTATATTTTATAGACCCATAGGCACTTGGTAGGTGATATGGTCAGCATCGTCCCAGCATATGATATTTTTTGTTTTCTGAATTGCTGTCTTCGCTTGACCTATTCTTCTTTTAATCTCTGTCACACATTTTTCATCTGATGATACAATTGTTTCCAGACATTTGAATTTATTGACTTAGTTAAGTCTTTTTCCTTCAGTTGAGATATCACAATGTGTTGTTATCTTCTTCTTTGATATAACCATTAAATCCGTTTTCTTAATATTCAAGGAAAGTCCTTTCTTAGCACTCTCTATCCCTACAATATCCAGCAGTTGTTGTAAATCAGCTGCATTTTCAGTTATCAAAACTATATCGTCTGCATAATGCAGATTGTTCATATTGTATCCTCCAACTCTTATTCCTGCTTTCTCTTTAATTTCCCTCAAAATTACTCACTGTATTTTTGTTCCCAACAAATAAAATCTCAGAATTTATTTGGGCATATATAGTTATACCCACCACGTCCACACAGTACGCAGCTGCAGCCAGTATCAAAGCTGTTTTATACACAAAGTGGCCACTGCCCAAGGAGTTCCTATCAGCAAAAACTCATAAATTCCAGAAAAATGTTTCTCAGGGCACCAGTGTTAATCTTCCAATTTGGTTATTAGAAGCAAACTATGACGTTTAAAGCTCATATATGTAAAAGGAAAAATATAAAAGCTGTTTTCAGACTTTTGCTGCATTGGGCATATATTGCTACACCTGCATTTTTATAGACCAATTGGTACTTGATGGGTCAGCATAGACCAATTGGTACTTGATGGGTCAGCATAGACCAATTGGTACTTGATGGGTCAGCATAGACCAATTGGTACTTGATGGGTCAGCATAGATCAATTGGTACTTGATGGGTCAGCATAGACCAATTGGTACTTCATGGGTCAGCATAGATCAATTGGTACTTCATGGGTCAGCATAGACCAATTGGTACTTGATGGGTCAGCATAGATCAATTGGTACTTGATGGGTCAGCATAGATCAATTGGTACTTGATGGGTCAGCATAGATCAATTGGTACTTGATGGGTCAGCATAGATCAATTGGTACTTGATGGGTCAGCATAGATCAATTGGTACTTGATGGGTCAGCATAGATCAATTGGTACTTGATGGGTCAGCATAGACCAATTGGTACTTCATGGGTCAGCATAGACCAATTGGTACTTGATGGGTCAGCATAGATCAATTGGTACTTCATGGGTCAGCATAGACCAATTGGTACTTGATGGGTCAGCATAGATCAATTGGTACTTGATGGGTCAGCATAGATCAATTGGTACTTCATGGGTCAGCATAGACCAATTGGTACTTCATGGGTCAGCATAGACCAATTGGTACTTCATGGGTCAGCATAGATCAATTGGTACTTCATGGGTCAGCATAGACCAATTGGTACTTGATGGGTCAGCATAGATCAATTGGTACTTCATGGGTCAGCATAGACCAATTGGTACTTCATGGGTCAGCATAGACCAATTGGTACTTCATGGGTCAGCATAGACCAATTGGTACTTCATGGGTCAGCATAGATCAATTGGGACTTCATGGGTCAGCATAGATCAATTGGTACTTCATGGGTCAGCATAGACCAATTGGTACTTCATGGGTCAGCATAGACCAATTGGTACTTGATGGGTCAGCATAGATCAATTGGTACTTCATGGGTCAGCATAGACCAATTGGTACTTGATGGGTCAGCATAGATCAATTGGTACTTCATGGGTCAGCATAGACCAATTGGTACTTCATGGGTCAGCATAGACCAATTGGTACTTGATGGGTCAGCATAGATCAATTGGTACTTGATGGGTCAGCATAGACCAATTGGTACTTCATGGGTCAGCATAGACCAATTGGTACTTGATGGGTCAGCATAGACCAATTGGTACTTCATGGGTCAGCATAGACCAATTGGTACTTCATGGGTCAGCATAGACCAATTGGTACTTTATGGGTCAGCATTTGAAGTGTAAGATACTTTGTAATTTATTAATGATTTGATTACTATGATTAGGAGATAAAATTCACATCTGTCTGTACGAGGCAATGCTGTAAATAATTTTTCCTCTTTGAATCCTTGTGGTTAAGGTGGTTCACTTCTTCTGTCAAGTGGAGGAGTGTGTTTTGTTGGGGATCTGTGTAACTGGAAGAAAACACGAAAAGACCAACTGCAAGCAAGTATGAAATATATGTGTTTTTAAATGAAACCACATCACATTGTAAATTCTACTTTGTTGTGTGCCAGTCACATAGGCTAATTTACACAATACTGCCAAGGAAAAGAATAGTTTTCACAAAGAGCTTTGCAATGCTAAATGGCACAGTTATTTAATTGTTGTGTTAAGCAAGAAGCTAACACAGATAATATAAGCAAATGGCTCATAAGATTAGATAAATGCTTGCAACATAATCTTTGGTAACATTGATAAATATCCAAAACTGAAATTTAACCATTCTCCTGCCACCCTCAAAAAGAACATCTCTGGATATCCCATTTATAACCCAGATTGGCCTCTCTCAGCATTCATTTCAGGATTTCTCTTGGACGTCTTAATGGCCTCAATTCATTTGTTTGCTATTTCAGTGCCTGTTTGGTGATTCTCTGTCCATTTCTGCTCATAATGTGCTGCAAATATTGCCATTTGTATCGTATAACTGATGATACAAGCAGCTGTCTTGATGTTTCTCTGATTTCTTGCAATCAGCTGTCTTGTCTTTCTCTGATTTCTTTATTGGTACAATGTCACCCCATCTCGTCAGCTCTAGATTTCATGTCGGCTCCCATTCATGTCATGGTCATTCCCACAGGCTGTCCTATGTTGTGGGAGCGTCATGTATTTTTTTTTCCAGAGGTTTAACCATTCTGTCTTTTCTGATATTGTCATTGCTCAATTGCATGATTATTTGCACGATTTGCTACTTGTGAGTATTGAAACTGGGATGGTACTGTATTTCTACATTCCTTGGAGGTGGCTTCTTTTTCTGGGGGCAAGCCACTGCCAGGGAATGTAGAAATACAAAAACATTCCAGTTTTGATACTCATGAACAGTCACCCGTTCGGGGCTTCCCCCTGCAGTACTTCTTACTTGTAGTCAGGCACCTGTGGCACCTCAAACAGATTTACCAAACACAACCTCCCACAAACATTATTTGTGGCGAATGATAGCGAAGGATGCCATCTCATAACACCCGGACAATAGAGGACAGCCCTTGAAAACAGCCATGACATGAATGGGAGCTGACACAAAATCTCGTGCTCGACACGATGTGGTGACACTCATGATTTGTTCCCTTTGCTTTCTTGAATTCATCCCATTTTATTTTAATCATTTCCATCAGGCATTTGTTTCCATATGCATTTAACTATCATTCCATGTCTTTGCTGGTTCTCCAACTGTCACTGGCATGTGTTAAAACTGAAATATCATTGGAATTAACCAAATGTAACTTGGTTTTAAAACATATATTTAGAGTTACCTATTTTGTTCACACTTTTCGAAGCTGTTGTTACCTCACAGTATCATAGTGTCGTTGTTTGTGTTTCATTAGTGGTCAGAATTGCTACCTAAATATATGATCTGTTACTTCAATTCCTTTTCTTTCCATTGTGATGTCTGCATAATATTTCCATTCTTAGATGCCTGTTGTAGGGTTAACAAAGACACAATCTTTTTTTTTTGGGGGGGGGGGGGATGGGGGTTGGGTCGTCCAGTCTATTTTAGTATGTGCTTTTTACAACTATTGATTTGTATTTTTATTTCAGTACTAACAAGTAATAAAATCATTTTTGACTTTGCAACTAAAGTATCAGCTGGACTTTCTCAACAACTCTGTTTTACATTGGAGTGTCAGGTGTGGGGCTTGTATGACCCTACAAACAAGAGTGTCAAGACTTCAAGTAGTAAGGATCATATTTTGGGTGGCTCTGACACAGGGGATTTGACCAAAAGTTTTACAGAGTGAGTATTATGATAGAAAAACAAAGAAGGCAATCCTCCTCAAGACAGATAAACATCATATCCCTGTTGCCCACAAAAGACAATGTGGTCACCTCCAGTTGTGAAACAATTCTGTAAATGTAGATATATAGCCATGTCTGCAGTGACCTGTTTTCTTCTCAAAAAAGCATAGTTAAATTCCATTGGTCCTATTTGTGCCTGTGCACCTGTGCAGTGTTTAATAGGCCAAGATATAAATATATAAGCTAAAAATAGTCTTTAGGGAGGTTTCCTAATGACCCCAATGCTTTTTGAAAGCCAATTTAGTTTCAGATTTTGCCATAAGCCTCAATGATAGAGATCACGTCATGAGTCACCTGATACATGTTGTTTTTGAGGGCCTGGGGAGCGTATTCCATTTAACGTTTCACTAAGTTTATTGATTACGCTTTTTTTATATCTTTATATATCCCCCCCCCCCCCCCCCCCCCCCCCCAAAAAAAAATGAGGATAAATGAAAACAAATTTGTTTTTAAAAATTAAAATTCATTTATTAGTGACTTGTTTTTGAAAGAATTCTTTGCAGAAATTCCCACGGGTTCATGGTCAGTTTTTCTAAGCATTTGCGGAGCAGACAGGTTAAACTGACTAAACAAATATATAATGTTTTTGGGGCATGCTTTGAGAAGGAATAGACTCAAGAATATTTTAACGACTGTCAAGATGGATGGAAAGAGAGCAAGGGGAAGGCAAAGAATTAAATATCTGGATGTTTTAGCCATTTGAGTGGGAAAAACAAGAACATTGACCTGATCCTTGATTTTGATGATCAAATGAGATGGCAAAATGTGACAGTCAGTGTTTAATGGTACTTAACATGATGATGATTATGACCATCTGCAGTCTTTTTAGTTGGAAAAAAAAACAGTAAAAGACATTTCTACTGATTCAAGCTAACAGTAAGAGTAATTTTGTTTCCTTTTTTTTTTTTAATAAGCTTTTAAAGCTTTTTGGTGCATCAAGCCTACAGTGCTAGCCTTATAACTGTATGAATCGATCAGCACTCATTGAATTGTATGGTCAACATCACACCTTACTGCCAAGGACACCTTGTTGTACCCATATTCCACTGGTTCGGTCTGGGAGCCCAGATCAAACTTTTAAAATCTGCAAGGAAGCATATTCAGATCCTTGACTCTCAGCAAGCAGGCAAGCGTACATTTCCTTTTTTTTTTCTTTTATTGCTCTTTACTTCTAATGTTCAATAGAAGTCAAAAGCTGGATAGCCATAGCAATACAACAAGTAAACAGCATTAAAAATATATGGTTAAGCATCAGCAAAGAAAATCAAAGCCACAATTTTGAGAGCATACATCTTCCCCATAGCAACATAGGGATGTGAGTCATGGACTAGACTGCAGTCATTATAGAAGAAAAAAAGGGCTATTGAGCTGAAATACTAAAGAAAGATTCTCGGAACACCATGGACCAAGAAGAAAATAAATACTGACATCCTGAAAGATCTGAACATCGAGGAAGACTGCCTAGTATACAGCATCTTATCTCGGAAGCTGAAATGTTTCTGTCATTTCACGTGCCACAGTGGATTGGAAAGAGTAATATTAGAAGACATGGTACCAGGAAAGAGAGTCAGGGGCTGACTAGCACTGAGGTAAGCACAGGATAATCATGACATCTTGAGTAGAAAAGTGCATGACATGGAAGAACTGGCGAGAGACCAATTTTCCTTTAGGCAGGCCGTGTTGAGAACAGTGTTCTGCAAAGAACCTGCTACATGATGATGACACCAAGGTGCACATAAAAAACCCATACTCTCAACTGGCAAGCAGACACATTAGCTACTAAACTATTATGAACTGTTTCTTCTGTTTTCCGTTTATAATTGTTTACCCCTTAATAGAGTATACACCCTTAAACATGTATCACCAAGTCGTGCTATCCTCTGCCATCACATGCAACTCACTCTCTTCTCCATTGTCCTCCCCATCTGGTCCACTTCATTCTCTAATCACCATCATTATCTCATAACACTGCATGTCACTGGATCTCCATTTGCTGTTGACTTTCTCATCAGCTCCTTGCACCTCTGACAGTCAGATGCAGTGGGCTCCATATCTGCATGCTTAAGTCCTGTCCAGTGAGACAAGTTCTGTATTCGGGTCTTTCTTTTTCTGCCGCTTCTCCTCTTCCCCTCAAATGAGCCCTGTAGTATTGTTTCTCGAAAGACTGTTAGATCTTATTACATATCCGTACCATTGCATTTTCCATCTGTTCACCGGATGCACCATTTATATTTTTTGGTCCTTCTTGTGTTAGCTTAAAATCATTTGTTTCTGATTAAAAGAAAGTTACTTTTTTTCTATTTATTCTGAGGATTTTGTAAAACTGAGGCAGCTTTTAAGTATTTTCTTTAGATTTTTCTCCATGAAGAGTTTATGTGAGCAAGCATGTCTTTTATTACAGTATATATTTTTTGGAGAATACATTTATTACTACTATAATATTGTTGCAGTGCATTTAGCTATGCATGTTTCCTGGACTCTGGTGATTCTACAACAGAACAAGAGATTTTTACACAAGTGACTTGTCATATTCTTTCTTCTTGGTGCAAACAAGAAAATGATGCAGATGCATCTCTCAGTGTTAGCAAGGAGGATTTTGAACATGTAGGAAATATTTCATATTTTAATAAACATTGTTTCCATGTAAGTTTGTGTAAGTAGTATGCTCATCAGTTTACCTGAAATACATCTTTACCAGTACAGAACAAAACAAACAAAAAAGAAGAAAAAAGACTCAAGATTAGTTTTAAAATTATACTATCACACATTCAGACTTAGACATCTCCCCATTAATTTTATACCTGTTGAATGAATGTTCAATTAAGAATCAACATCATAGCATTCGACACACTCCCTTAAGCGCTCTGTCCCCATCTTCAGCAGCAAGCGTAGAGTTCCAGTTCCGATGGTACCAGTTACTGTCTGTTTGTACATCTATATCACCTTTCCCTTCAGTGTTGAGCATCAGGAGATTCCCTGATAACTCCCTGCTGCACCATTCTCCTCACACAGTAATGATCTGTTTGTGCTTCCACACTGTTTACTCGCTCCCAAAGAGCCCTCACATCTAGCTTGTCATACATCTATTCACCATGAAGTAGTGCAGAACCAGCCAGACTATCTGCCTTTTCATTTCCCAACACGCAACATTACCTGGAGAAAATATAAAACAAAAATGCAAACTACCCAGGAGCTCTGAAGCAATGCTTGACTGTCTCCACCTTTCTCAGCATACTCTGTGAGCCAGTTATAGTTATGACATGTGTGTACAGCTGATTCTCAATCCAGCAGAAGGCAGCAGTGACTGCCTCCACCTTCCTCCCTCTGCTTGTTTCATTAGTCTAACATTACTGCTCTTGTGGGTTCTGGGATCCAATTTTGGAGGTTAAAAAAGCCCTAAAAACTAACTAGGTTAAAAAAAAAGATTCACTGCTCCCTAACAAACATGTAAAAATCAACTAATTAGGAGACTGCAAAAATGGGATATGTTAAGCTGAAATGGTGCAGATCTCGCACCCTACTGTAAACCACAAAACAACATGCCATCCACCATTTTGTGGGCAAATGCAGAAAAAGAAGAAATTAATATTACTTGTAAATGTGTGCTATGTGTACCATCATCATCATGTTGCCAGTTCTCTGCAGACTGATACCATCACTCTTTTAATACTGTTTACACAAATTATTGAAGATAAAGCAGTTTAATAATTTTCTTGGGTACTGTAAAAAAATAAAGATGTAACGAACCATGATTTTAAATATATAAAATGCTAATATCTAGTGTAAAGGCAGCACATTTAAGTATCTAGTTGATTGGACCGCCCCAGAATCTCACACATATAAACCATTAGTTTTTTTGTCCTACCTGGTAGCACTTTTATAAGTTTTTTTGCTAATTAAATGTGTACTGATCAATGTTGCTACAAGTTTTGCCAAATTTATAAATATAAAACAAAAACCAGTCAAGTCTGCATTCATTCACTTTTCAAGTAATTAAAATGACTCTTCAGATGTTAATGTTACGAACTTATTGTATTCTTGATCACACTACAGAAATTTAGGAATTTCTGAGTGTCTCGAAAAACAGCACAAGATGATTCTCGACAGCTATTTGTCATGGCACAGAAAAATGGTCTTCAGAATGATCAGAAAAGCAGTTGGATTTACTTTTTTTCAACAGTTTTCACAAAAGAGACAAATCAGTTTGACTGACTGGCTATTTTTCCCCCTCTAGGCTGTTGAATCATTAAAATAAGTTATTAATTTTGTGTCGGAATGGCTTATTACAAATGATATCATAAATTAATAATCAAATGTAAGTTGTAACAGACTCACAGAGCCTGCTTCAAAAAACCAAAACTGGCTTTCTACGCTCAGAGTGGCTTGCATCACTTGAAAAGACTCACATAAGAAACATACCATGAATTTTCTGTCCAGGATATTCAGGTGTGCAAAGTAATGAACAAGCTGGTAGACTAGCTGCTGTTACTCCTCTGGATGGTGAGCTGCTTTGTGATAAAGCAGATGTAAAGGCTCACTAGGATCGTGTGGACAGTGCAATAAAACAGACAGAGAATCCCTACACTGACAGACTAATTCATATAATTCACAGGAGGAGGGGGAGTGGGTGGGGGGGGGGGGGGGGCATAGACAGACTTTTAATCAGGTTGCAACAGCTGGTACTATTAGTATGTTGACTCTTCGTAAGCTGCTAGAGAAGAGGACAAAGCACATCCAAGTGCAGTGATGTCATTTCTTGATTCATTGATTCAAATATAAGTTTTTGAATATTGGGGATGTTTTCTGTAAAACAAATTATTCCATGTTAATCCAGATACCTAGTTTAGTGTTTTAAATTATTTTAGACTTTCATAATTTTTAGGTTTTTGAAGTTTTGTTCTCTCCCAAAGCTCCATGTTAGTTATTCTTCTTCTTCTGTGTTTGCCTGTAAAAGGATGGTTGGCACACAGTGTTGTGGTACAGCTAAAAATGTGTGCATCTTTCAGCCCAACAAATCTTATTTCAGCAAACTCCTATTTAGATGTCTTGTATGACATGCTTAACCTGTGGTTATTAGTGATTCTGTCATACTATTTAATTTCCTATATTCTGCACAAGGGGAGGGTACCATCGTGTAGTGGCCAGACGCTCCCCTGAGGATTACAAGGTTGTGGGTTCAGGTCTTGATAGAGCCAGTCATTTAAAAAAAAAAATGACCTGGCTCCCAGGTCAATTCAGCGTCAAATGGGTACCAGGTACAGTCCTGGAAAGTAAAAGTAGCTGGCATATGTTGACCACATAACTCACTAAGTGCTGACTGATCTATAAAATTTAGGTCAAGCCCTATATTCCGAATGTATCTGAAGGCCTGAAGAAAGATCCTTTACATTACTTTCTTACTCTGCACAGACAGCAATTAACATAACAGAGCATACAGTTAAATTATTGATTCATTCAGAATTCTTGAGATGCCTTGTTAGATAAATGAATCCCAAGACTGTTGTTTGTTAGTTTTTAGCAATCTCCAGACAAGTGGAAGTCAGGATGTCATCTGAAGCTGAAAGTCTCATACAGAGTTACTACACCGCCAGCAGAACAGCCAGAAGTTCAGGACTCTGTGGCTCTGATGTTCCTCCTTCAGCTCTTTTCACCTTGTATGAGTGATACTCAGTTACATTTGTATTATCTTTTAATTTGTTGTGAAATTAGGGGGGTGTCAATGGCAAAGTGGTCAAGCCGTTTATGTCATGCTCGTGAGGAGGTCGCAGGATCATTTCACGATGGCGCCATTCAGTTCATGAGTGCCATTTTTACAGAGATCCTTGGGGATAGTCACAAGAGCTATGGAGCTCGTGCTGTATGTGACACTCTCAGCAGACAACTAGCTGTTCTGCAGAAAGAGACTGAGCCGAATAGGAGAAAACCTGGTACAATGAAGTAATCCTCTCACCTTTACTTTTACCTTTGTTGTGAAATTGTACACATGAGGAATATTTTTGTTCCTTGAGATCTGTTGAACATAATGTACAAGCCGATTTTTTTTTTTTATGTAGCCCAGTTAGTGCTAATTTGATAATGGGGTCAGTACCAGAATTCATGGGAACAGGATGCCATGAGCAGTGTTGCATGGAGGGGGATAATCAGGAAGGTAAGAGGAGTAAAAAGAGAAATGGACTGCAGATAGGTTAAGAGCTAAGCAAACTTCGAGGCAGATAGCCAGCTAATCATAGATCCTATAAAAAGTTCTTTGTTTCTCTCTGTGAGCCACTACAAATGGTCGGTGGTTGATTACATTTGGAATGGCATATCCTGGTTACAGTAGAAACAGATTTATTGAAAGAGAGATGAAGAAAGTCTACAACAAAATATTCATCATAGAGTAAACAGGTGGCAACACAAATTTTGTTGCCAGTCATAAGATACGGATTAGCATGATCGCCCATCCTTGCAGAGACCTTGATGTCAGTGTGTGTGTGTAAGTGCCTGAGCGTGCAAGCGTGCGCACATGTGTCTGTGTATGTTTTAAGAAAGGGAAAGTGGGGGGGGGGGGGGGGGGTAACAAATCTTAATATTCTAGAACTGATTGAAGTGATATATATTCGAACCATCTTTTCAGGCACAAGTGGTAGACAGAGTCATGTTGAAAAAAAAAAATATAAGAGGGGGAAGATCATGCAGAACATGGAATGATGTCATCAAGAACAGCCTTAAAAGAAACGTAGACCAACTTACAAAACACATTGGAAAGAGCACACAGAAGATCCTTACACCCTCCCACCCCACCCCCCTCCACTCCCCCTAAACATTCAATGAAGTACCTGGAGGAACAGAGGAAGAAAAGGGAAGGTTATAATCTTAAAATGGATTTAAAAATTAAAAATGGTAAAATGACAGTTGAACACTTGCTGCAAGAGTGTCCAACATATGCAAAACAGATAAATTTTTCTGGCTGACACGCTCCTTTTGAGGACAAACTCTGTGAAGATGTCAACAACCTCAAGTTGGCTGCTGATTTCTTTAGATATATTCTCATTGACGTCTGAAGGTGTAAGAAGAAAACTGACAGGGATTCTTGTAACTGATAGTCTAGAGAGTTGATAAAATATTATGTGGGAGGAAAATGAAAACAGACCCATCTGTCTGTGTACTGCCACACTGGATGCCCCTAGGCATCTATGTGGGAAATGTCATATAAAACTATACAGGATGTTGAAGTACACTACAGTAAAGTCTAGCATACAAAAGAAGCATAGTACTCACTTTGTGCAGGTAATCGAAGTCCCAGGTCTGCAGGCTGCGCATACTGCTGGCTTCAAAAGACATAGCTGGTAATGAATGAGATGTCCAGTATACTGAGTGAGGTTAAACAGTCATGAGCAGAATATGGTGATTCGTTGGGTGAGCCCAGTACCAGAGCATCATATATAGGATGGCAGAAATGCTTCTGTTCTGCCCCTGCTTTCTCTTGAGAACTGACCAGCATCACATGGCTTGTCTAGACCGGCCTGATGTGGGTCACCACTTTTGACCTGGGAAACAAAGATGACCCCACAACAGTGAGGCTGCAATGTCCCATTACACTAAGGCTAATCCGGTTAACAAATGAATGCAGATGTCTGATGAAAGTCGTAAATATCGCAGTCATGTTGTAAACAGGCTTAACACAATTATATGTTCAGATGAACATAGAAGAACAAGAAGAAGAAAGGGAATTAATAAATGTTATGAACAGAATAAACAAATGAATTTGTGTGTCTTCATAAATAGGACTTCCCTTTCTGTTGGCTTTGCAAAGTTGAAACTCCAGCCTTTTGTTTCCAAGTGTGATGCTCTAATGGCAGTTTTCTTATATGAGGAGAGCCTAGCTGCTAGATTTGGTAAGTGCTTTAGCAGCTGATATTTTTTAAGACTCATTAAATACATATTTTCAACGGCCAATGGGTGTATTAAAAAAAAAAAAATATACACAACTATAATAAAAAAGACAACTATCTTTTTCCTTCATGTGATGAGAAGACAAGCATTGGAGAACACTGTGATGACTGGAAAGATCACTAGCAGAAGAGGCAGACCACGAGAGATGATGCTTTATGGACTGAAGTGATGGTGTGGAAAAATATCATCAGTGAAATTGATTCAAAATATCAGTGACAGAGATCTGTGGAGATAAATAACACCTACACCCCTGGCAGGGCACATAGTGATGATGATGAGTGGGTACTCAATGTGATGTGGTTAATCTACTCACTCAAAACGTTTCTCTACAATGTTCTCTTTGGTATCAAATTATGTTCAGATACTTATATGAAATAATGTTATTAAATCGTCTTATCAGTTTTTCGTATCGTGCATCAGTTCTGCGATACTGTTGAGTTGAGTTGAGTCAAGAACTGACAGTCACAGCACTCACAGCATTCCCATAAGTACTCCATCCCCATTCTCAGCAGCCAATGCAGTGTTTCAGTACTAATGGTGCCTATAGCAGTCTGATTATAAATTCGTCTTGCCTTTCCTCTGAGCATTAAGTATCGGCCAGATCCCCTCATACCCCCCCCCCCCCTCCCATCTCAATCCGGCATCACTCTCAATAGACTGATAATCAGTTTTATTTTTCAACCACGTCTGCCTTATCATGCATCAATATTCTACCAGTTGTGCAGAGCCAGCCAATCTGTCCACCTGTTCATTTCTCAACACACCAGCTTTCCCCTGAAACAAGATCCTGACAATGCTCCTCACCCTTGACCTCCAAAGCAAAGCGTGCACTCTGCTCAAAGCATGCCTGTCCTCACCTTCCCCAGTATGCTGCTTTCTGAGTCACTTACAATTACGATGTGTGTGTGCTGTTGATAGATGGTACATCGTCTGTTCAATTAACAGACTGACTGGCTGTCTTCCTTTGTGGGCTGCTACTTGAAAGTTTAACATTCCTACGATTCAAAGAGCCACACTGTGAATGCCAATCCATCAGTGCAGACCCCAGATACCTTATTTAAACTACAATGAATTTATAATAATGGCGGCAATAAAAACTAAATCAAATACTACCCTGGTGACCCTGTGTCCTGCATGACTAATTGTTATCCTTTTGGAATGCAAAAAAGAATGCTACAGTTAATGTGCAAGAGAACTGTTTATAAAAAGAATATATGCTCTTGGTGTTTCAAGAATAATTAAATGTGAAACAAAGCTAATTATCTGCAACAGTATGTTTTACATGCACTATGTATACATAGTAAACATACAGAAACCTGTATGATGTCTCCGACATTTTTTATTACTGTCTTATATAGGAGTATCAATGCTTAACATCTACCCACAACCACATGTCCCTAACAGCAGCATTGACGACTTTCTTGGCATAGAGGTATCTTGTTTCAATATGTTTGAAGATATGTTAAAAGCTTATCCTACCATGTTATATAGATAATACAGTAAATGTGTGACAAGTCAAGCCTTCACACTTATTAAGTAAGGGAACATATGATTGAAAGTCAAACTTCCATCTTTACTGTCTTTACTTTCCTTTCCCTCTGGTAACAAGTATGTAAAGTTGGGTCAACACCAGAGTTAAACTGTCAGAAATACATCCCATCACTATCGAATCTCAGACCATCATGCTACCATAGCTCCATAAACTTACTTTAGATTTGTTAGTTTGTATTTACTTATGTCATTACCTGAAATTAAAACACCTACAATAGGAAAATACAAGGAATTTTGAAGAGAACAAACCAACAGTAAACATCAACAAGACTCTATCAGCAGACTTAAAAGAAAGCAACATACGACAATTTTCTGTCTATGAACAGGCTCAACTATCACATCCATAAAATAAAGACTGCACAATCACCACAATATGCATGTCAGACAGGACCACAAACTCCTGAGCACATTCTGTAGATCTGCCCACTCTACCTACAACTTCAAAAAGAAATCTGGCCTCAAGAGCAAAGTGTGCATGGCAAGCTATGGGGTACCATGAAGGATCTGCAGCTGACATGCGAGTTCATAGAGGCGAAATAACTGTATGGATGCTTTTTGGCTGTGAATTTAATTCCTTAATCAGGCTATCATTTTGGGTTCTAATTTCATCACAAACAAATAACCTCATAATTGCACCATTCATGTGCCAGTGAAAATGACACAAAGTGTCACCACTGTCACATGTGAAAAGTCAAAGAGACAGCAGTTGCAGGAAAAATCTAATAGCTTGCACAAGCAGCAGATGTATGGTATCTACTATATATGTCAACACCCACAATCTAACACTAGAATTGCTATTTATAGTTAATGGAAGCAGCAGTCATGACAAAACAACAGTAAACACATTACTGCATAAGGCACACTGCCAATTCCATGGCAACCAGCCACTCACCATTTTCAGAAAATGCAGTTTGCAACACACATTTCCAGGAGTGCAAACAGTGAGCATTTACCATGAAAATCCTAGCTCACAATATAGCACAATGCACTGAACTCAGTTGCTGAACAACAGAACTGGATTTTGTCGTAAACTCATACGATCTCTCATTCATTCAGATTTCCGCTGGGGCTTGAAACCTCAGTCGTTCATTAGATTACTCAGGAAAACAAGATTCACCACATGAAAATGAGGTAGGACCGAGCAAGATTGGCCAAGACACATTAATAGCCATTATTGCTCCTCCTTACTCCTGTAGGACCTAAATATCTCTGTTTTTATCTTTATAATGGTGACTGGCACATTGTTAATGTTAATGGTTTATAGTTAAGCTGCTATAATTTTGCTTTTTTATGTGAACACATTCAGTCTCAGCAGAGAGCTAATTTGTTGTCTTTTATGACATGCTTGTTAGGGGCACTGGGTCTATTCTTTTTTCCCCCACAAAATAAGGCTCTGGATCATACATGGGGGGAATGTAATTTTGTACGTTGTGTTAATCATTATGAACATGAGAGACTGCATTATATTTTATATTACTAGTAATATGTTATCTGGAAATGTTTCAACAAATCTCATCTGCATATAATTAGAACAAATTTTTTTTTTAGAAATTACTGTAGGTAAGCATGCACTTGGAGAAATACTGTATAATTATTTCCTCTTCCTTCATTTGTCATTTTCTGTCCTTTATTCCTCGGCAGAACATGGGTTCTGGATCTCTTGCCGAGATGTCTTCTCCTTTGCCATGGTATGCAGCTCATTCATATCTTCTTCTTCTCCCCCTTCTCCCCTTTCTGTAATTTTTTTTTTCTACTCGTCTTTTGTTCAGTCTTTATTCCGTTGACCCAAGGGTACTAGTGTGAGAACGTTCTGCTTCTGTAAAGTGGTAAAAGGAATCATCGGTTTGCTATGCCGCAGTTATGGAAGTTATTCAGTTTGTATTATTATTGTTACTTATAAATGAAAGGTTAGCTGCAGACACAGACCACCCTCTGCATGAAGCTCTGGGTGCAGTTAAGGGTCAGCGGCTGATAAGAGGGAGGTCATGGATGGCTCAGGCAGAAGACACAATCAGACACCTTTATCTTGGAAATGTTATACATTTGTAATATAAATGAAAGGTTTTTATGAAGTGGACACCATGTCTGGAGACCACGCAGCCGCCACCCCACCCCCTTTCTACACACACACTATGGCAATTTGTTTATGGTACTATGTCTTTTCTTTTTTTTCCAGAATGACACAGTTATGCAACATTTTCATGAACAGCTGCTGAGATTTTGCTCCTGCTTCACGGACAACTATTCCCTACACAGAGAAGAGTGATTACTTTTTATTTTAGGCATTTGCATTATGGAATTTTTGCTTTATTGTTGTTTCCAGTTTTCAAAATAAATAATTCAGTGTTGAAAATGCATAGCTTTGAGTGATTATCTACAATATGATGATGTAATACTTTTCTAATTAATTAGTTCATTAGTCTGTATAATACCGTGAAAATATAAATATTACAAATATACAAACCCTCTTACTGAAAAATTGCAGAAACATTCAGCTCCCTCTACAAATTTTATGAGGGGGGGGGGGGGGGGGAGGCCTCAACTAACCTAAAAATATTGCAGAAAATAGGAAAATTAAGCCCCCCGCCCCTCCTTAAAAATTAGGCTAGAAGACAAGGTTTCTAAGCTCTAGGTTTCGGCACTATGAAACAAGTTACTGAGAAGATCGACAATCTGGCAACTAGGTCGCCTTGTGTTTTGTAAAAAATAGCCTTTAGTTTTGTTAAAGTCGCTTTTTGTTTCTTAAAAGTCGCCTTGAGTTTCCTTAAAGTCTCTATTTTTCATAAAAGTCATTTTGTGTTTCATAACAGCCACCCTGTATTTTTTTATTTTGTCACTTTGTGTTTCCTAAAAGTTGTCCTGCATATCCTTGAGTTTCTAACAGTTGCTGTATGTTTCCTAAAAGTAGCCTTGTGTTTAATAAAAGTCGCTATGTATTTTCTTGGAGTCATCTTGTGTTTCCTAAAATTCCTTTTGTGTTCCTTTTAAGTCGCCTTGTGTCTGACTCATCAGGGACAGACGGTGAAAGACTTGTACCCTATACTGAGCGAATTAAGATGTCCCAAAGGAGAAGGACATCGAAGGACTTATGGTGTCCCAGGGTTAATGGTTGATCTTACCTATGAATTTTTGTGACTGACTTGTCAAGACTAGCAAAAGATATGATCCGTCTCTTGAGTGACTTACGTTGTCCAATGGAGAAAGACATCGAGTGAGTTCTGGTGTCCCTCAGATATTGGTGAGCTTACCAGGAGTCTTCAGTGATTGATTTGCTAAGACCTGCAAAAGACTTGTAATGTACCTTAAACTCTTTAAGGTGTACCAAGGGTAGTGACCGACTTACCAAAATACTTTGGTGAACAATTTACAAAGACATGCGATCAAGTTGCAAGGTACCCATAAACCCTCCTTAGCACCGACTAAGCCCTCTCATTGAACATCCACATCTAACATTAGATGACATGACATCAGCCAAATTCATTTACTTTTCCCATTTTGTTTTATAAAAATAATGGCAGCATGTGTCCTAGGGACTTTAACACCTCACATCTAACTATGCGACACATGATATGCCTACTCACTGAGTACCCACTCTTAACAGTGTGACCTGACACGGACCCTCATTGCCATAATTTTTAATTTGTGCTGTATGTAAGATTATAGTACCATATGTCAAGGTTGTCTGATGACACCTACAACCTGTTATGTAATTAGCCAACAAAACGACTTGACCCCCCTCTGCTATCACCTGACCATCAATGACCCTAAAACCCCTCATATAACTAGTCAAAACAAAACTTGACTCACAGCTGACACAACTTGACCCCCTTACTGAGCGGCACCTTACATTGCGACACGACACCCATCATTTTACTATTTTTCTTTTTGTTCTCTATATAAGGCATATCACCATAAGCAGTGACCCCTAAAACCCCTCACATAAAACTAGCTGTTTATAACATTGCATACGACACCCTCCACTTTTCCACACGTTTTCATGGTTACTCTATAAAAAGTCCCAGCACCATTGCTGTGATCTGGAATGACTCCTAAACCCTCTCATGGAAGTAGCTGACATGACAACCTGACCCCTCAACGAGACACCAGCACCTAACATTGTGTCACAACACCCGCCACCTTTGCCATATTTGTTTTCATTCTTTTCCTCTATGTGATTCATGGCACCCTATGCCTAGGAGCTCCTGGTGATCCCTGTCCTCTACGACATGTTTGTGGATGACCATCTGTTGCCGCTAAGTTGTATACTAATATAACTACAGCTCATCCACTAACAACCAACACGTTATTGTTCTTTTTTAGCCTTCCAATCTAAGATTGATTTTGAATAGCCCAAGATATAATGCGGTTTATGCCCTAATTCAACCTCGATATTCAGATCGTGTTGAATGTCAGTGAACTTGTTCTTCTTGGTCAACAGTATTCTTAGAATTTTTCTGTTGCATTTCATTTCAAAAGCTCTGATTTTTTTTCTTATTCAAAGATTATGTAAATCCCATAATTCACATTCATACGTTGCTACGGGAAAGAATCGCGATCTCACAATGATTACCTTAACTCGCTTTGCAGGTGCTGTGCCATAGGTTCTCTATGATGTTTAGCCTCTGCATCGATAAAGCAAGTCTTTTTTCTATTTATTTTTTTTCAGTCACAGTTGTCTAACTTTTCAAAATCTTTGACGTGTTCAGTCTCTTCGACCCTCTTCATTATCAATTTTTAATACATGGTTAGTGTGTTGTATTTGTTTGGGACATTGTGATATTATTTTTCACATTGACCCCCACCCCACCCAAAATATGCTTTTCTTCACTTTGCTTTTTGACGGTCACAATTATTTTTCCTTTAACTTTGTACGCTATTGGAAAGGAAAACTGTGTTGCCTGAAAACTGTATCATCCGCACATCTACGTTCTGGAAGAGGTTTACATCCAGTTGGAATGGATCGAAGCTGCCACATGCTTCTTCGTTAATTGCGTAATTTATAAAAATGTTGTTGAATAGTTTTTTCCATGTTTAAACTTTATGGTTCAGCAGATGGTTAGTTTTTATGTTTTGGCTTTACAAACTAAGTGAGGGTTTGTACTGTCCAAGGGCTCCAAGACCATTTTTTTAAAGTTTCAGACAGACACGACTGAGCTACCGTATAACATAGGTAGTCGGTTCTGCTGTGTCTGTTAATGCCAAATGTTTGCAGCCACATACCAGACATCCAACCACTGTCAACGGCTTTGGATGGAGGTGTGCATTTTACAGGAGACCAACTTACTTATCCTAGGGACGAGGAATGCAGGCTAGAAAAGATGTTCTGGCAGGGCAGACCCAGCCCATAGCCTTGGCTGGTAACTGGGCTAGTTAGTCATGCGTAAAGACAGAGCATCACTCTTCTGATCCTACAGCTTCAGCAGCATGCTTTTGTACTAGAAGCAAAGCAGGGGTATATCTTGTAAAGGAGGAAAAAGAAGAAATCAAGTATAATATGGAAATCTACTCCTTGAAATCTCGTGGACTCCGAACCAGCAAGAGCTCTAAACAATGTCACTTGGTGAGTGGGAACAAAAAACCCAACCTTAAGCTGCCTCAGTAACAAACAAACAAAAAAAGAGAAAAAGTTTGTTTAGGCGGGGGTAAGATAAAAAATATCTCACCCTGACAGGAAATCTTCTGTGTGGGGTATAATATAGTGTAACAGTAAAACCTAGGCACACTAACAAAAATAACAAGAATGTAAGTCGACAAATACAGAAACTTTATTTACTTGATGAAATACAACAATAATACTTGATGACACACTCCGAACACTAAGTATACTAAAGAACAACTAGAAGGTATATGAGCAGACCAGCAGAAAACTAACCAAGCAACTGGTAAACCAATGAATAGCAAAATAGTGACAGCTACTAGCAGACCAACAAATTAGCTATAGCGACCTGCCATCCTAGCAAGAATACACACTGACATATTTCTACAGTTTTACCACTAGAGAAATTTAACTATGGAAACATACGACCGCCACGAAATCAGTGTGACAATCGGCCTTCCCCTGCAGTTGCCATACCCACGCTGTCCAGCCCCAAGTTACCCAGTGAAAAAATCCAGACAATACTCCTCACCCGTATCCTCCGCAGCGAAGCATGTCACTCTGCACGAAGCATACCTGTTCTGATCTTCCTCAGCATGCTTTCTGAATCAGTTACAATCACGATGTGTGTGTGGGTCGTATTCTCTAGCCAGCAGAAAGCTGCAGTGACCGCCTCCACCTCCATTCTTAAGCTGTATGTTGTGGTATCATATGCTAGGCTCTCCTGCACCAAACGTCGACCATTAACTTCTGCTAAGAAACCCCAAGCACTTCTTTTGCCTCTTGACACTGAACCGTCTGTGTAAAAGATCAAATCCTCTGAGCGAGCATTATCTTGAATTAACTGCTGAATTTCCACCTCTGTGGCACCTGCTGGCCAGTCTCTGCATTTCCGGCTCGGAGTGATTATGACTCTACACAAGTCTGACTGCTCAGGTGGCACTTTGACCCACTCCTCTCCTCGCCTAATGTTCTCAAGGATGCAAACGTGTCTGATTGTGTCTTCTGCCTGAGCCATCCATGACCTCCCTCTTATCGGCCGCTGACCCTTAACTGCACCCAGAGCTTCATGCAGAGGGTGGTCTGTGTCTGCAGCTAACATGAGATATGACTTCACCTGCAGCACCTTGTGCCTACCTGCAACCCTCGGCAAATCAAGGATGTATCGCATACACACCACTGGGGTGTCTCTGTGCCCTAGTCTTAAGTGCACTAAGTCCTTTTTTGGCATCTCTTCACAACACTCTCCACATGTTCCTTAAATGACAGGCTCCTGTCAAATGTTGAGCTGAGTTGATTTAAGAACCACATCACGTCATTCGAGGGATTCCCATAAGCCTCCTTTTTGCCTTTTCTCTGAGCGCCGAGTATCGGCCAGATCTTCTCCTCGTCACTTCCCGCTGCATTACTCTCCTCAGACTGGAATGATCAATTTTCCGTTCCAAATTGTACACGGGCTCCCATAAGGCCTTAAACGCGTCTGCCTTATCACGCATCAACATTCCACCAAGTAGTGCAAAGCCAGACAATCTGTCCGCCTGTTCATTTCCCAACAAACCGAAATGACAGGGAGAAAAGACAATGCTCTTCACCCTTGACCTCCGAAGCAAAGCATGCCACACTGCACGAAACATTTATGTCCCCCCTCATTCCTCGTCTTGCTTTCTGAGGCAGTTACTACTAAGATATATGTCTGTACCGTGTTCTCTAGTCAGCGGAAAGCTGCAGTGACCGCCTCTATCTCCATTCCTAAGCTGGATGTTGTGGAACCATATATGCTTGGCTCTCCTGCGCCAAACGCTGACCATTAGCTTTTGCAACGAACCCCCAGACACTTCTTTTGCCTCTTGACATTGAACCATCTGTATTGTCGCCAACCCTACGTTTTCCCAAGCCTTTATGAGGAAGGAGTTAGCGTGAGTTCTCGTTGCATTCTTTATCGATTTGTCGATGTGTTTGTTGTTGTTGTTTTTTTTTTTTTTAAATGCACCTGTCAAGCTCCCAGCCCTACTGTACATACTTTTAATACTTTTATAACCTCTCCTAAGCTCTCCCTCTGTTCCACCCTAAAACCACTCTCATTAAATGGATGTCAAAGCTCCTCCCCGTAGGTATAGTGCTTTCAGTTAGGTTCACGTTAATCTTCCCAAATAGAGTAGGTCACTTTTCATTCACATTTTTGTTGGGCTGGTCCATTTTCCTTAAGGTTACGGATGTCTCCCTTTCTGTTGTTTGTTTTCTGTGTTGTCTTGCATTTACGTTATCGTTCCGAGAAAGAGAATGCCTGTGACATAGGTTGCAGCGCTCTCTAGAGGGGTTGTGTTAAGACCTGTTTTTCCATGTTTTTGGAGTGTTAAAAGCGCTGGCGTGCTGAAATATTCAACAGGCGATATCAAAAGCGTTGTGGTGCACCCCCGTAACCTTGTGGCAAGGTGACAGGTTCAGGAACTACGAATCAGAAGTGAGCTAGTGTGTATATGGACGGTGCGTAGGGAGACCAACGTTACTTTTAACCTGCTTTCACTAAATGCCTGTCAATCAGGAAGGCCTAAATGCGTGTTTGCATCTTCACGGTTCATCTGGCTGGACATAACTGTGTCTACACAGTCACACCTCCCTTTCCATCTTCAACCTGCCAATTGCTCTGACAACTGGTCCAATGTCATCTGCTTACACCCTAGCTGGGTAGTCTATACTATGCACTTTACTGATGCCACTAAGTTTACCTGGTCCTTGTAATCTGTAATCTTCTCCCATTTTCGCATAACTTAAACTCAGAAATCCTTAAACCACAGTATGGATGGCAAATCAACAGGGCAAATCCCCGATGCTCCGTTCATCCTCCCAGTAACGGCAACACTAGCCGTTGTAACCTGCAGTCCTGTGCGGGTAAGAATCTAGCGAGAACTAACACCAGACTGTGGTGGTTATTTCCCTCTAGAGCACGGATAAATTAGGGTACTGCTGTTACAATCTTCTTCTTCTTCTTCTTCTTCTTCTTCGTGTTTACCAGCTGTAAACTCTAGCGGAAAGTTCTGGTTGTTAATCCACTTTCAGACTCCAGTACTGTTCCAGAACCTGAGTGTTGCGTGTGCATCGGTTTTACAGATCTGACTCATTTGTATTCAGACTGCTGGTTCCTTGCCTCTCAGGCACACGCACTCTGACTTCGAAGGAAGCTCCTAGTTAGTCGACTCTTACAACATGCTTTTGGGTAGGCAGTGGGTCTATTCTTGTTTTCCCTATAATAAAGCCCCGGAACCTATACGAGGAGCTGTTACAATATAACTTGTAGTCTTTTACAGGGGTGGGAGATTGACTGATGAATGTACCAGATTGACTTAACAAGCGTTTTATCAGAGGAAGAGAACGACCAGTTTATAATCAATGTGCTACGGGAACACTTAACATGTACTCCTTAAGAAATTTGCTGCGAGAAACGGAGCTCCTATGGGTACCAGTCCTACAATAGGGTACAGCAGCTTTGACAATGAACAAGCAGCTAGAAAATCGAATTGAGTCTCTGGAAGTGTCGGTGGGTGTACGAAAGAATAGGTTATACATTATGACAACAAAAACAGTCTGTTGCAGAGGTTCTGAGGGGACTACAGATGAGAATAGAGTTGCCGAAAGAAATGAAGAAGAGGCAGCTGGGATACTTTGGCGACATTCAAAGACATAACAACCTGTTGAAGACCATACTGGTGGGAAAGGTCGAAGGCAGGAGAGCAAAAGGTGGGCAACGATACAAGTGGAAGGAATATATCAAGAGATAGACAGGCAGCAGCGGAGAGGGTGTACAGCCAGAGCAAGAGACAGTGTTGGAGATCCCTTGCAGCCAACCTTCACTATGAAGACCGCCGCACTTTATTGATTGAAGCAAGCTTTGCTATGATGTCGATTTTTAAATCGGTAAATGAACAAGAATATGTGGATCTAGAAACGTTTTTCGCCCCAAACAAACCGTGATTGGCCTTTCATTCATATTTGGGAACCTTTCACACGCACTAGTCTATGTTACAGGGTTGTCACGTTGTGTTGTGTTCGATTATCTGGGCCTTCTATATTTCACGTCGTGTACTGGTTGTTGTGAGTTGTGACATTGCGTATATTATAGTTTTCTCGAACTTCAAGTAGGACACGAATGTGTTTCAGCTGTCAGCGTTGACGAATGACAATGAGAGCAGCGTTGCTTTTCTGCAGCTAGACGGCTAGGGTCCACCGCAAAATGTTAAGAATTTTGAAGCCACGGGACGTAGGCTGCACTATCTCGTGGGACGTAGGCTGATGCTGTGGAGTTGGGTGGTGGTGGAGGGGGGGCGGCAGTTCTAGATGTTATGGGGTCGTTAACAGTAGTCACATCGTGTAATATACAACACAGGATATCGCCGGTGATATTGTCGAAGTAAACACACCGTGACATGCGACGTAGGCTGCACTGTTTCGTGGGATGTAGGCTGAGGCTATGGGGTAGGGGGTTGGGGTTAGGGCCAGTTCTAGATGTTGTGGGGTCGTTAAAAGCGGTGAAGTGGTGAAATTTAGGACGTTATATATCGCCGGTGATAGCACTGAAGACAACACAACGTGACTCCACTGTAACATAGACTAGCGCATGTGAAAGGTCACCAAGTATGAATGAAAGGTCAACCACGGTTTGTTTGGGGCGAAAAACAATCTAGAACCGAATTCCGATTCCAATTTCTTTTGAGAAAAAATTTAAAAGGTCGACCACTTTCAGACTGCTGCTAGCTAGCCGAGGCTGCTAACAGTCTTCACCTATATTTGCGTCACTTTGTGACTAAATTCTAGTATTCGTGCCGTTTCTGCGCTCAGTGCTTCTTTCCGATTCAGACCGCTCGTCCTCCACCCTGTTGTTAGTTGTGCATGCCTTGTCTTTTCTTACTTGGTGTCTCCTCTTGGTTTTGTCTCCCTCTGATTTGGCCAGGCGTATTCCGTAGGAAAGCGAGCTTTTCTACACAACGTCCTTTGGACCACCATTTACAGAACCGAATTTGTTACTATGATACCTAATCGATACACCACAAACATTGCGACAGCTGATTGGATTTTGTAGTCAACCAATCATATGCTTAACGGTTACACGTAGCATCCGGTTTGACTGGCAACATGACAGCCCTCATTCGTGTTTTTGTTTTATATTTGATAGTTGCAGCTATCACTTTTTCGTTTGTGTTTGCACAGCCGAAAAAGAAGGAAGTAAGCCTTATGTGTTGTAATATGTAAAAATTAGAAAACAACATTTCTTATTAGCATTTTAACCCAAAATATTTCAACTGGTTATTTTGAACTTGTCAGGTGTTTGTTTACTGACATTGCAAGGGAGGTCAGTCAGTATTTATTTAGTTAGGTACTTAGTCAAGTTTTCTGAATTTTTTAAAAAAAAAATAATTCAACCAGCTTAGATGGATTCCACTTAGAAAATGCAACAGAACGGTACATAATGTAACCCATTACGTCAGTGCTAAGCCGAGATATTAATGTTTGAATGTCAAATTATTTTTAATTATGGCTCTCCTTTGAACGGCATAATATGGCGGCTATAAAATGATGCCGTTCGGACGAGAGCCAAAATGGCCATAAAATATCCAAATATATCCGAACGGTGTTCAGGCATGTCTAAAATATGGTCTTTCTACCAAGGAACAAATCGCGGCAAAACTAGGATTACTTGACAATATCAACATTGCACACGGTAGTAGCAGACAATAAATACCGACCGTTGACAATTTTGAGTGTTTCTGCAGACGATATTAGTGACCGTTGACAATTTCAAGACATTACAGACGATGAAAGCGATTAGCAATACTGTTCTCCTGACTGAGGATTTAGCAGCGGTAGATGTCAGACTGTCGGCATGGGCAAAAAGCGATTAAACTCATCGCTATGCGCAGCGCGGATGGGGGACTAAACTAGGTTTTGGGACTCACGAGCAAAGTAATTGGAGGAAGTTGCAGGAGATGCGGTAGCTGTCGCTCGTGAGTCCGAGCTATCTAGTTTAACCCCTATCCGTGCCGCGCGTAGCGGCCTCGGCGGTGAAGCATAGTCACAGAAACAGGTCCGCAAGTAACATATCGCTGAGACCCTGTTAGCGCATTTGTGTTGTTTTTCCGAGCCGATCCTAGATTTGCCGCGATTTGTTTGTCGGCAGAAAGTTCCACAATGGACAGTGTCAACGGTCGCTATTATTATCGTCTGCTACTATCGTCTGCAGTGTTGCGTGCGTCTCTTAGAATTGTCAGGTAATCAGAAACAATAAGAAACAGGTCCGCAAGTAACATATTCCTGTTAGAGCATTTGTTTCGTTATACAGAGCCGGCATATTTTTAATATAACTGAGCCCCATTTGGATATTTTTGGATATTTTATGGCCAGAATGGCTCTAGTCCGAACGGCATCATATTATGGCCGCCAGAGCCCAAATTATTAATATAAAATAAAATAATATTGGGAAACAAGAAAGTACTAGGGATGCTAGTGAAGTTTTATATTAATTATGAGTTTTTACTTATGAAACCATGACAGCTAGATAGAGATTAAAATTACAAATTCAACGATTAGTGATTAGAAAGGATTATCACAGCACTCCGGACAGATCCATAGGTGCTCCGATCCCCTCCACAAGTGTAAAACGACGGATGACACCTTTTCTGTGTTGGTTAATGAAACATCTTTTTCCCTTCCCTTGGTGAAATGTTCATTTCTTGCAGCTCCAGGCTGCACCCCCATGTCCGTAAATTCAACAATACCTCATTGAAGCATGTAAGTCAATTCTAAGCGGAGATATTAACATTTTAGTGGCGGATACCACCACAGACAAATTATAATGGAAATGGACAAAACATGGATCCTGGGCTGCGGCCCAGTTAGATGAAATGACTCAATGTTTGCATTTTACGGCCATAACTATTTTGTTTCTGAACGAATCCCTTAGCAACCATATATTTCTGGAATCAGGACAGTGAGACCTAACTGTATATGCATGTCTCAAATACATACACTACAATATGCACCTAATTAACATATGAAAATGACTGCAGGCTGACTATTTTTCAGCAAAAACCTTATACACTTACAGTTGTCTGCCAATAAGCCTGGCAAGATGCATATCATATTGTGTGTCCCGACAAGACGAACAAAAAGATCATATAAATGAGCCAATGTCAGTTGACGTGACCTAATTAACATATAAAAATAGCCCCCAACTGCCATTTTTTTCCAAGCATAAACCTTATACTTTTTTGGTTGTCTGCCAATGAGCCTGGCAAGATGCATATCATATTGTGTGTCCTGATAAGGCGAACATAAGGATCATTTAAACGTGAGTTGACGTGACCTAATTAACATATAAAAATGGTGGCCATAACGGCTGCATAAGGTATCCAGCCTAAAAAACAGAGATAATCTCTGAGATGATTAGCTGTTCTTCTTGCCATGACTGTACAGGGTTCGTAGCAGGCCTTAAAACCGGGAAAAAGTTGGGAAATGCATGATACCTCTCAAGGTCTGGAAAAAAACTCTTTACCCACAAATCCTTAAACTTTACTAACAGTAACCTTGATGTGTAAGTAACAGTCACTTTTCCATGCCCTTAAGCGAATTGGGAATATAGGGCTAAAGCTATATTTTAATAGACCTTGGTAGGTGATGGCTCTTGGTAGGTGATGCGGTCAACATCACTCCGGCCACCTTTACTTCCCAGGACTGCACCTGGTACCCACTCAAGGCTGAGTCGACCTATGAGTCAAAGTCATTTTCTAAAGTGTTATTTTTGGCAATCAGGCTTTTTGTCTTTTGCAGTTACACTTTTGTTTTGTTTGCGGTTACCGTTGTTTCAAATGTATGCTGGCAAGCAATTTACAGTTTAAGGTCTCATTGTTTGCTTTGCCGGTTGGGGTAGAGAGGGTGCAGAGTGAGCTATCTTCACAGCTTTCCCCTCCTTTCCCCCACTACCCCCCTCCCCCCAGCCCCCCCGCCAAACTCTCCTTTCTGTATGGTAGAAGAAAACAAGAGCTCACTGGTAGTACATGGCCTGTTTTCATAATGGAGCAGTGACAGTGTTAACAACAGTGCAAACACAACAGGTGTGGTTATTTCTGGGAATCAGGTCAGGCCAGGGTTTTTTTTTTTTAAATGACCTTGGCTCCCATGTCCTCCCAGCATTGAGTGTAAGAAATGGAACTATAGCAGCCACATGCGGACAGCCAAGCAGGGGAGGGTTGCCAATGGGATTTTTGTAAAAACATTAGCTAAGCTGACCAAAAACCCAAGCAATACATAAGCAAAGAACAAAAAACCCAAGATTAATAAATAGTAAATATTTTATAGTTACGAAATGAAACATTTACCCACTTTTATATAAGGATGTGTATTTTAAAAAAAAAAAAATTTAAAAATCTTAACCCAAGGCGTCATATAAAAACCCTGATCTTGGGGAAAAGCCCACGTATTGGCAGGCCTGATGGACGGGAGCGAGGTCAGTGCTGCAGTTGTTTCTCGACCACTTAGATTTACCAAATAATTACAGAGCATAGAAAAATGCTACAATAGTTGTAGATGTTTAAAAAATAACTCACTTAACATTATTAATTTACTAAGTATCTGAAGTTAATTACTAAAGAATCATCTTAGAAAATGCGCAATGATGGCCAAAATTAATTATTGGGGTTTGGGGTGATCAGGCAAAAATATCTGCAACAGAAAATGATGAGAACTATAAATACAATAATGACAGATGCATGAACAAATGCTACAATGGTTGTGGATTTTTAAAAGATTATTAAAATAATGTTAACTAAGTTAGTAAGCATTTTAAATTAATTATAAAGTGGGTCAAACAGTCGTCTGATGCAGACATAATAGATTTGAAGCAACAACAGTGATGCAACTAACCAAATTGTTTTTACACTTTCCAGCAGCCAATCCTTGTGAAATTTTCCATACTTATGTAAAAATGACAGCAGGATTCAAAAATACACAGCAAATTGCAGTAATCATGCTAGTTTAGAAGATATTTACAAACTTACTTGCTGTGAAATTCGCTGTGTGCTGCCAAAAAATTGATTTATCATGTGCACGCTAAACCCATGTCAGGTCAGAGCCTAGCATCTCTTCAGTAACTCCTAATAATTGTTTCAATTTGATCTTTCACGTAAAGAGCATGAAAAAATAATTTCTCAATAACGGTCAGTAAGGGCTTGTTTTCTCGGTCGCAATAGCGTCATTAGAAACGAGAAATAAAAACATAGCATCTCGAAACTTTCAGTCGAAACAATCGCATCTCTAAAAAAAAATTTTAAACAGGCTCAGATCCTGTGTCCTAACACATTATACACATATGACTAAAGTCGTCCCCATGAAGGACACAATTTTTCTTTATTTTAAAGCCCCACCCTGTCTTTTGCCGGGGGCCGCAATATAGCCTGACAGTTGAATGTGATCTGAGACCTCTCCTCGGGTGATCCTCATTCGCATGGTGGCACTTTGTGTCACCGGGTGTTTATCGCTCTGAGTGATGTCCTGGTGGGGTAAAATTTATTTACTTACTTACATTATACACTATAACTTTTTTTGTTTTTTTGTTTGGGATCTAACATCTTAGCAGCCATGTATCAGTGTGTTCGAGGCAACAACACCCAATAGAGTAAATCATTATTTTAAACATATTCTGTCGTGTGGTAACATTAATGTTGTCATTTGATGCTGTCATTTAAAATAATTATTCCCCCCATGGGTTCAAGGCCCCATTGTTGGTCATGTAAGCAGGGGAACAGAGGCAACAGACATCTCAGGAGCTACAGGCAACAGGGGACAAAGTGAATGGCTGATGTACTGAGATATGTGCTATCAATGATTCTGAAAAAGTGGTGGATTTATGGTGCTCTCAGGACAATAGAATTGTTAAGAGCTGGTGTTCCATGCCTCACAGTAAACAGTAGAAACATCAAAAGAGAAGCCAGACTGAGGTACCTGGCTGTCACTTTCCATAGGAGCTGTCATTCAGGGACAAGGTGGAGGCATTTGCAGCAAAATGCCAAAAAGGGCTGAAAGCATTGATAATTATGGCAGCATAGACATGGAGCCGAACAAATCTGTTCATATTGTACCACCACTTGAATATTTCTGTGATGTATTATGGACTGGGGTCGCTTACCATATCGAACAGTCAGCTGGTGAAGCTTGAATGCATACAGAATGAAGCCATGCAGGTGATTCTAGGAAGTACAGGAGACACCCCAGTAGTCTGTATGTGATACATCAGTGCACTGCTGACTATTGCAGAGAGGCTTAAAGTGCTATGAGCCAGGTCATACTGTAGAGTAGCCATTGACAAAAACCACCTTCCTAATTAAGCCCTGGATCAGGTTAAGGGTTCACAGATTCATTAGAGGGAAGTCTCGCATGGCACAAGCAGAAGGCACAATAAGAGATGTGTGTATGCTAGAATTAACTTGGAGAGGAGAGGAGTACTTCAAGATGGCAGAGCAAAAAGTAGATTTGTGTAGGATTCTAATCACACTTGGTTGGAAGCGCAGGGATTGGACAGCAGGCACTGCAGAATCAAAAATTCAACAATTGATTCATGATAATTCCTGTCCAGGTGATGTGATTATCTATACTGATTGCTCTGTGTTGAGAGGCAGGAGAAGTACAGAGGGGTTCGTTGTGAAAGTGAATAGATGTCACTTAGTGTAACAAAGTCTAGCATATGATACGACAGCATCTGGTTAGAGATGTGGAGACGGTCACAGCAGCTTTCCACTGGCTTGAGAACCAGCAATACTTACATGCCATGATTGTAACTGACTCATAAAGCATGTTAACCCATTCCTGCCCCCTGTATATTTGCTCGACTAAGGCCGCTCACAAAACGTCTTTTCCCAACTCACAGTGTCCTTTTGTATCTGTCCCAGGAAAGTTTAGGAGATAAGGTCCATCAGTTGATGGAATGGAACAACAAAAAGTCAGTGATCAGGTTAAACGGAGACAAGTTTCGCCAGTATGTGAAAACACCTCCAAAGAATTATTCAATGGTGGTCATGCTGACAGCACTACAAGCACAGAGAGGATGTTCTGTCTGCAAGTATGGTATTTGTTTTCTATTTTTTTTAATTATTCTCTCACACAGAGATATACACGCTTGAACACAAACACACGTAGCAAAAGAGAGAGAATAATTTCCCATTTGTGTGTGATCTTTATGTTACAAAACCCTTTGTTCAGACTGACAACCGCAACCCGATATGGGTAGAGTCCGTCACCTGGGGATCTCCTTAAATGAGCAGAGTACTGTCACAAGAAGAAGGCTGTAGTAGTATTGACGACACATGACCTGGAGACTCTGCTACAGTGATCTTGAGACCAGTTCTTCCCATTAACACACCCCCACCACCTGGCCCATTTCACCACCTGACAAACTTTACTGATGAAGCTATAAAACTGAACATTAATCCATGTATAGTCTGACAAATTGTTACTCTCACTTTATAAAACTGAACATTGATCCATGTATAGTCTGACAAATGTGTTAATCTCACTTTATAAAATGAAACATTGATCCATGTATAGTCTGACAAATACGTTACTCTCACTTTATAAAACTGAACATTGATATATGTATAGTATGACAACTGATAGCTAAATAAGAGGCACACCTTCAGTCCAACTTACTTGTCTGGAAGGAAGAGCTTGAAAAGAGAGGGATGACCATCAGTATCTCCAAAACTAAAACTATGGTGATCTCAAGAGAGGAGAAGAAACACCAGATCATGATGGGACAGTATGCATTGGAGCAGGTTAACCAGTTCAAATACCTTGGAGTTGTATTAGACCGAAATGGAGGCATTAAGACTGAGCTGGCTACACGAAAAGCAGCTGCTGGGAGACTCTTCCAGGCCATAAACCGAGGGTTTCTTAGCAAAAGAGAAATTGACAAGAGGACGAAAATGGCTGTTTACCGCTCTACCTATGTACCAGTCCTGACCTATGGGTGTGAGTCATGGGCAATGACAACAGCTCACAGAAGCCAGTTGCAGGCCTCGGAAATGAGATATCTGAGAAAGGTGGTCCAAGTGACAAGAAGGGACAAAGTCCGCAATCAGACAATACGTCAAGATCTTGATACCCAGTCCTTACAAACCCGAGTGGATCAGTCACAGTTACGATGGTTTGGACATGTATGCAGAATGGGAGAAAATCGGCCACCATGGCAGGCATGGGAGGCTAAGAACCAGGGAACCAGACCTTCAGGACGACCCAGGGTGCGCTGGGAAGACAACATCCGACAGTCCCTAACTGACAAAGGACTGGAATGGAACAAAGCCAGAAAGAAAACTGCTGATAGAGACGTCTGGCGATCTCTCTGGCCAACCTCTACACCCCAAGGTAGAAGAGGAGCGACTAAGTAAGTAAGTAAGATAGTATGACAAACGAGTTACTCTCACTTTATAAAACTGAATATTTATCCATGTGTAGTCTGACAGATGTGTTACTTGCACGTCATAAAACTGAACGTAAATTCTTTTAAGGGTCTCTGTGGCGAAGTAGTCAAGCCATTTTTCTTGCGCTCAGAATATCATGGGTTCATTTCATGGCAGTGTAGTTCAATCCACGAGTGCATTTTTACAAAGATTCCTGGGGATCATCTCCAGAGCTATGGGGTATATACTTTATGTGACACTTCCTGCAGGCCTCTAGCCATTCTGTGGAAAGAGACCAAGCTGTATGGGATAAAACCCAGTGCAATGAAGTCAGTCCTCTCACCTTTGACCTTTAACCTTTGAACATTAATTTATGTGTAGACTAGTCTCTGACATCTGTGTTACCCTCACCTTATAGAAACCATACATTGATGTATTAGATGTTCCAAAGCTGTTGGCCCTTAATATAATTGACTGTTAAATTGTCCTTGTTGATGTCTTGCAGGCAGGCTAATGATGAGTTCCAGATCGTGGCAAACTCCTGGAGGTACTCACAGCAGTACTCAAATAGGCTGTTCTTTGCTATGGTTGATTATGATGAGGGTTCCGATATCTTTCAGATGGTAAGTTACAAACATCTTTCACATTAAAGAACAAAGGAAATTTTTTTTTATACCTTTAGACATATTGGGCATGTAGGGCTATACCTATATTTTATAGACCAGTTGGCACTTAGTGGGTGATGTGATCAGCATCACACCGGCCACCTTTGCTTTCCCAACTTTTACCTGGTATCCATTGAAGGCTGGGTCGACCTGGGAGCCAAAGTCATTTTTTTTAAAACAGTCCCCCACCATCCGTATTTGACTCCACGCCCTTCGAACCGCAGGCGAGCATCTAGCAGCTACACCACAGTGGCTCCCACCTTTCACATATAGGTGTATTTTATTAATAAATTCCAAAAATTACTGACATTTCTTACGATCTGAGGAGAACCGGCTGATAGATAATATCATTTTTCTGAAACTAAAACCTCCACAGTATTAAATGTCATGATGGTTTGAGAACTGTAGTGGAAAATGTGGTTCCTGTAAGAAGAGGCAGGGGTTGGCCAGCATGATGGTGGAAACACAACATCAGGGGCATCCTGAGCATGAAACTTTATGAGTTCCGACAGCTGGCAAGGGTCCGCAATGGCTTTCAAGCATGCTGTGATGAGTGACATTCTGCAAAGGATTGCCTGCGTCCTAATATCTGTCATGTTAAAAAGGTTTTCTGATTAAAAATGTTAGTTAGACATAGAGGACCCTTGTCCAAGCCTTCAGGCATATTAGGCTTATAGGGTTGGACCTGTCGGTTATAGACCAATTGACACTCAGTGGGTGGTGTGGTCAGCATCGCACTACTTCCCAGGACTTTATCTGGTACCCACTCAATGCTGGGTTTATCTGGGAGCTAAGGTCATATTTGAAAAAAAAAAAAAGTATAGCTTCCTTGGGATTTAAACCCATGACCTTCAGTGAAAGTTGGCTGTAATAGATCTCCAACACTCTGCATCTCTCCTGATGGCTGTACACTTTCTGAGACTGCTGTTTGTCTCTTTTTTGTTGTTAACGTCCTGCTTGCATCCCTGTTTACCTCTTGCTCATTTTCTTTTAACCTTTCCCTCCAGTGTTACTTTTATAAAAGCATTATATTGTTTATTGTGGTGAAAATATTTCCCTTATAACAGCAAAACATCCTCAGCAATTTGTTGTCCTATAGTGGTTTATTCATTTATATTTGCTATTACAGGCTGTTGTTTTTAGCAGTTTGAAACATTGACCATTTATGTGATCTTTCAAACAGTTGAAGTTGAACACAGCTCCTGTATTTATTCATTTTCCTGCCAAAGGTAAACAGAAAAAGGGGGACACACTGGATATCAACAGGTTGGTACTCTAGGACAGTCGGCATGAGAGGGAGATGGATGTGGGAGAGTACAGATTAGATGGGTGGATGAATTGATGGATGGACAGACAGTTTTGGGTGAATGGCTAGAAAGAAAAAAAAGAAACAATACAGACATAGTCATAGAGAAAAGAAACAAATTGAGAAAAACAGCTGAGAAAGAGAGATCAGCTCTGAATTGGGATTTGTTTCCTTGTCATTCATACCTATATAATTGCCAGAAAAATTCTGAAAATAGTTCAGTACTTATTTTATTGTAGTCATGTCAGCCTCAGAGCCTTACTTGTCAGAATAAATAATCCTGCCTGTGCTGAGGATTGAACCCAAATCACTGTTTTTGCAAGCAAAAGCACTGACTGCTCTACCACCACAGTTCCTGCAAGAAGAAAATTCATAGGAATGATCTTCTTCTTCTTGTTTACTGGCTGTGAACTCTGTTGGAAAGTTCTGGTTGTTCATCCACTTCCGGACTTTAGTCTTGTTCCATTTTACAGATCTGGCTTATTTGTATGACTTTTGATTCCTCACTTCTCAGGCAGATACACCCTAACTTCAAAGAAAACACCTCTAATTAGTCGTCTTTTACGACATGCTTGTTTTGGGGGTAGTGGGTCTATTCACCCCCCCCCCCCCCCTTTCCACAGTTGGACCCAAAAACCCATAAAGGGAAATTCCTAGGTACGTTTAATATATGTTTATATGTAAACACAGGACCCGTTTCACATTGATGGTACGTTACACATTGATGGTATGTTACACATTGATGGTACGTTACACACATGATACAAAAATAGGAACCTGTTATGATGTCCAGCCAAAACATAACCTAATTGGGATTTCATTCATGCTATTTCACCTATTACACTGGCTGGTCTATGTTAGAGGGGTGTCACCTTGTGTTCCCAAAGAGCTTTAATTGATTGTGTGTAGTAAAGGTGGCGAGCTACGCAGTGTGTTTTCACTCATTTTTGCGAGCGGCCGGTGACATTTAATATATTAAAGAGTTATGACATGAACTTAGGTCAGCTATCAGCGTTGACGAGCGGCAAGGAGAAGCGCGTTGCTTTTCTGCAGCAAGATAGGTCTTCAGGGTGCAGCCGAAAATGTTAATTCTGAAACCACGGGACGTACTCTAGGCTCTCCTGTGGGACCTAGGCTGGGGCTGTGGGGTTGGGATTAGGGCCAGTTTTGTATGTTTTGGGGTCGTTAAAAGTGGGGTTGTTATTTAGTAGAGAACATGCGATATCGCTGCTGATAGCATCGGAGACAAGACAACGTGCACACCCCTGTAACATAGACTAGACCGTGTCACTGGTAAGAAAGCATGAATAAAATTACGCTATGTTTGGGCCGGAATCGTAATAAGAACCTGAAACTAATATTTTAATAGAAATTTCGGCACTTGATTGATGGCATGGTCAGCATTACACAGGACCCCTTTACTTCCCAGGAATTTACCTAGTGCCCATGCTGGGCTGGGTCGGCCTGGGAGCCAGTGTCTCATTTTAAAAACAGCTGATAGATGCTGATTTGAACCCAACCTCCTCAGACTGGCCGATGAATGTCTAGCCACTACACTGCAGCAGTGCTCTAAAGTTTATCTGTCTATACATTGTATGTGTTTCTTGATTGACAATTTTGTCTTGTAGGGTTGGCTTTGCAGCAGAACAGCTGGCCAAATGGATTGCAGAGAGAACTGATATTCAGGTCAGTGTTAACATTCACACTGCCACAGCCGCTGATAATGGTGGTTATCTCACTGTGTCTCTCTGGCAGTTAGCTCTATCTCTGTTATCTCTCTGTCTCTTTGAAAGTTATCCCTCTCTGTTTCTCTGGCAGTTAGCTCTATCTCTGTTATCTCTCTGTCTCTCCGGCAGTTAGCTCTATCTCTATCTCTCTTTCTCTCTCTCTCTCTGGGGGCTATCTCTCTCTCTGACAGCTCTATCTCTATCTCTCTGTCTCTCTGGAAGATATCTCTCTCTTTCTCTCTCTATGGCAGTTATCTCTCTGGCAGTTAGCTCTATCTCTGTTATCTCTCTGTCTCTCTCTATGACAGTTATTTCTGTCTCTCTGGAAGTTATCTCTGTCTCTCTGGTGGTCTCTCTCTCTCTCTCAGTCTATATGGCAGTTATCTCTCTGTCTTGCTGGAAGTTTCTCTCTCTCGTGGTTAACTCTTTCACTGTCTTTCTCTGGCAGTTAGCTGTCTCTCTGTTATCTCTCTAGATGTTATTTCTCTTTGGTGGTTATCTGTCTCCTTCTCTCTCTCTGTGGTAGTTATCTCTCTGTCTCTCTTGAGATCTCTCTCTCTGTCTCTCTGGTGGTTATCTCTCTCTGGCACTTAGTTCTAAATCTGCTGTCTCTTTTGAAGTTATCTCCCTCTGTCTCTCTGGTGGTCTTCTCTTTCTGTCTCTATGGCAGTATATCTCTCTCTCTCTCTCTCTCTCTCTCTCTTCTCTCTCTCTCTCTCTCTCTCTCTCTCTCTCTCTCTCTCTCTCTCTCTCTCTCTCTCTCTCTCTCTCTCTCTCTTTCTTATCATCACTATCAGAATCATCATCACCACCACCCAGTTTACTGTTTTGTACTATTGACTTTCTGTTTTCTCATCTGTGTATTCAGGCTCCCCTTCAGTGCTGTAGGATTTTCTTGTTGTCACAATACTATTTTTAATTATCTCCTATCTTAAACTAAGCAGTAGGACAAATATATTTAGAGAAGGAGAAAAGGGAGAAAGAAACAAAAGAAAAGTGATACAGAGCGATAGAGAAAAAGAGAATTTGTATATTGTGTTTGTGGTTTTTTTTGTGGGTTTTAAACGACTGTTGTCTCTTGAATTCTGAGATAAACCATGAAAATATCTTTAATGAAAGGCATCTAGACAATATTAGTTGTAAAGTTCTTGCGTGTTTCAGATTCGTATCTTCCGACCACCTAACTACTCAGGAACAGTTGCCCTTGCCCTGCTGTTTGCAGTGATTGGAGGGTTGTTGTACTTCAAACGCAACAATCTGGAATTCTTGTATAATAAAACATCATGGGGTATTATTGCTTTGGTAGGTTTTTCATTTCCTCATTCATTATTAATGTGTGAGGTAGGAATCACAAACATGGGAAAGACATAATCTTTTGGCTACATGGATTTAAAAAAATGATGGAACATGTTGTGACAACTGGAAGAAATTATTCAATAAGATTATAATAAGACAGTGAAAGACGATTCTTGACGGCCTTTTGTCATGGCATGGAAAGTTGTTACTTGTTGTCTGTGTACATATAGCACATTTGTCTGACCCATGTGTGCTCCATCCTCTGATGCAGCAGCCATCTCAGTGTCTCCATGCTCAAGGTACCCAGTAGTAGGAGTTGATTGGCATCTCTTCTGTCTTTGCCCCACAGCCGGTTTCTGCATGCTTGTCCTTATTCAGTACCCGTTCATTATCTGTGACTCCTTTGTCTCAGCGTCTTTGGAATACAGCACATTCAGTATGTCTGTCCTTTCCATACTTCTTCCTCTACTAACTACTGCTGACACTGCAAGTCTATCGACTCTTTTCTTTCCTTGGACCCTGGTGTGTACAAGCAAACATAGTTTCTTGAGGTGGGACTTCTGGATGCTGTCAACCCATTCCAGGTAGAGTTTGCCAGTTTGGATTTTCTTGAGCATGCTCATTGAGTCCGTTACTATCAGTATGGGAGTTGCTTTATGTTCTGCCGGCCATGAGAGTGTCCCTGTGACAGCTGTCTTCATTGTCATACTAGAAGTAGTTGAACTGAATGTCTGGCCTTCTTAAGACTTTCAAGGAAAGATGTTAGCAGATAAATTGGTACATGCTGTTAGAGATTGCAAGATTTAGAAGCCTGATGGTTCCATTCAGAGACTTTGATTAGTCGTGTCATGTTGGTTATTAAGTCTGTAGGCTGTATGACATTTAAGAGAATCTCACTTCTCCATTCCACAGTCACTTTAAGCAAAAGGACCCTTTTTACACCAGTGGTACACTGGACATATGAAGCTAGAGTCAGATTTGTATATACCAATTAGCACTTGATGATTTGGGCAGTATCGTGCCAGCTGCCTTTACTTCCTTGGACATTACCTCATGGCCATTTTAGGCTGGGATGACCTGGAAGTCAAAATATGTTAAAAAAAAAAAAGACTGTCTTGATGTGAATTTGAACCAAAGAGCTTTGGGCCGACAGGTGAGCACATAGGCACTACCCTGCTTCAGTTACAGTGCTCATAATGTAACTAAGTTAAAGTACGTCGATACCTTTTTCCATACCATGAAAGGCATTGGGCATAAGGCACCAGCCTCTTATTTTCAAAGACTCACTTGCACTCACTATGTGATGTGGTCAGAATAAACATGGCTGTATTTACTTTCCAAGATAATTCATAGTGCCAGTTTTAGACTGAGTTGACCTAGGACAAAGGTCAGTTTAACAACCCCCTGCTGTAAGTGTTTTTTGTTTTTGTTTTATAGCCTCTGTGTTAGGTTTTTTCAGGAAGCAGAGAATAATTATTAGCCAATCAAGGGTGACAAAGGAGGTTTGACGTGAAAACTGCCTACCTCAGCATGTCAGAAATTAACTGCAGAATCCAACCACTCCTGAACATACAAAGGACTAGGAGTGAGTTGATTTAGAGCCTGTGATTCGGAGATGTAGCTCTATAGACGAATGATAGACAGATAGAAAGTGTATTGAATGTATCATCAAAGAAACTGTCTCACAAAGAGAACTGAATGCCCACGTCAGAAAAAGATGGTCTAAATTCTTTTGTCTTGTATTGAGAAGGTGGAATACTGAAGTACACATGGTGATAGGAAGGTTGGATGGAAAAAAAGGCAGAAGGAGCCTGATAGAGAAGATATGGAGTTTGACATCATGGCATGGACAATCCTGTGTCAGAATTGTTGAAAGTACATGAGACAGAGGGTTGTGAATAGATATTACTACCAATGCCATGTGGCATAGAATATAAGAAAAAGAAGATCCTTTAAGAGGTAAAAGACAGATAAAGGTTTAAAAGATGAAATTAAGGTAATTCAATAGCAAGTTGATTGCATTGTTGTAGTGAATGGTTATCGGTTACCGCTCTTATGAATATTAATGTTTAATTTAGATAATGGATAAGTGGTAATTTTGGCAGTTAAGATAAGTGTTTTTTTACCAATGAAGTACTTACTATCAGCAGTAAATATCGTAAACAATGATAGCTTGACTGGGAAGTATTTCTAATGCTGTTTAATTTTCAGGCTATCATCTTTGCCATGACATCAGGTCAGATGTGGAATCACATTAGGGGACCACCAGTGATGCACAGGAATCCCAACTCTGGTCAGATGGTAAGTATTCCTAACAATTAGATATATACTGAATAGATACCAAGTAGATTTTATCAAGGGCATTGAAAAGATATGGTTTGACAGACTCGGTGAGGGCTAGGAAGTTCTGAAAAATGTGAAGAAAATGTCTTTATGAAATTTTACTGTAGTTTATCAATCTGTATCTTATCATTATGTAACCTGACAGATAGATTATTAAACATTAGATAATTTATCAGATATATTCAATGCATCTGGCTTTGGCAGTATGTATGATTTCATTGATTAGGCTCTGTCAGTCATATTATTTTCAGTTTAGTCTGTCAATGTAATCATTCTTGAATGGGATAGAGAGATTTGTAAAAATAATATTTTTAAAAGGTTTCCCTTTATATTGAATTCTTGCACTGTTTAAGTGTAGTGACCCCCCTATTTCACCTATCCCCTTTTGTCATGTTTGCATCCTGAGAATATAAATTTACTGTCACAGATTTGTGTTGTCTTATTTCAAATTATTGAAAAGCAAACATAAAACTTGCTGAGCTTTGTATAAAAAAAAATGTTAATCGGCTGTGTATTATGACCGCCTGACCTCACGAAGTCTTTTTTAAGGTTGTGCTGCTTGGGGATAGTCCAGCCAAATTTCATACATAATTTATGCATGTTAAAAATAATCTTTTACAAGTAATTTGTATTTATGGTCTTATCATCATCATGTAGGAAGTCCTTTGTCCTCATAACCCTGTGGGAAACCTCATGACCTTTGGCCAGTTACTCTGCCTCATGTCCAGTGTGTTTTCTGTGTTCACTTTCATGAAGTCAACTCCTGCCTGATTAACCCTGCCTCAGTCAACTCCTGCCTGATTAACCCTGCCTCAGTCAACTCCTGCCTGATTAACCCTGCCTCAGTCAACTCCTGCCTGATTAACCCTGCCTCAGTCAACTCCTGCCTGATTAACCCTGCCTCAGTCAACTCCTGCCTGATTAACCCTGCCTCAGTCAACTCCTGCCTGATTAACCCTGCCTCAGTCAACTCCTGCCTGATTAACCCCGCCTCCTTCTATTACTGGGGGTTTTTTTTCAGTGCCACCAAAATTTTAATTGGGCAAAATAATTGAGTTTCTATGACATTAGGCTATTTCTAAGCATTTTTCTGTAACAGATAAATGTCAGTGCTTTGGTTTATGTGAAGACTAGAGCTTAAAAAACTAAAGTTTCACAAAACAAATTTCTTATTTGTTATTTATGTTGTGCTTGACCTATCTGTATATTTGTTTACTCATTCTAATGATTTTATTGTTAATTTCAGCATTACATCCATGGCAGCAGCCAAGGACAATTTATTATTGAGACTTACATTGTCATGCTGCTGAGTATCCTTTTGTCATCTTTCCCAAACCACATGTTTTTTTTTTATTTTTTTATTTATATAATATATTATTGTTTAGTTTAGTTTAATTTAGTAGACGGATCAACATCTTGGCACACGGGTATAAACCCATAAATGCTTTGTTTTACTTCTAACTCAAGCCTGAGTCTGAAGAATCTCAGCGCAGTGCACAAATTCTGTTGCACCACCTGAAATACTTTTTGGGTAGATTTTCAACTCCAAATTTGCCTGGCAGCGCCTTTAGGCGACTCTTTTTCGATTTCTAACTGCCAAGGTATTTTTACGTGCACATCATTACACACTGGCGTCCGGTCTTACTACTCAGAGACCAAGGGAAATTACTAGAAGTCCACGTGAAAAAATCCCAACCTTCACCGGGTTTGAACCTGGGACCTCTAGCACTCGAGGCGGATGCCATACCTCGAAACCACACATTCCCCTATATATACTTTTAACAGTGATTGGTACCTTTCCTTCTTTCCAGATGATAGTGTTATATTGGGCTCTGAGGAGGCATGTGACTTACATGCGATGGTGAGTGTGACTAGCTAGACCCACCCCCATTAAGAAAAGTCTTCCACAATTACAGCATGGGATTTCAGGACCGTTGTTGTCAAAATTTCAACTCTCATCCTTTGTGCAGTCATTTCTTCCTTCATTCTCAGTCCCTCCCTGATGTGCCCCCTCCACACAGCATGGTCTAAATTTCAAAGCTTTGCTTTCTGTGAAGAAGACTAGGCCGTGTTACTTTTAACAGTACTCCCCATTAAGTACTTTAGTACATTCTTCCAAATTATTATTAGAATCAGTACATTCTGTGGTTTACATCTGGCAAATTGAACTGATAGCTCATTTAAGTGTCCATGCCACATCGTGTTGATTAATTTATTATGTGAGATATCAGTGGATGAGATCTAGTGGGAAATTTATTTTGAAACCAGTTTGGAAATCTGTTTCCACATACACCTTAGGCTCACAAGTGGGGTTAAAAGGCATTCATAGATAACATGACTATAGTAAACAAACATGCTTTCGTTAGAGATATTAGAATTGTGAAAACTTTAAACAAAAGCACATTAACCTTGCAGTGTTAATATTGTGATGAGCAGTGGCTGACTAAGTGGTTACATCGTTGGGCTTTCGTGCAGGAGACCTGAGTTCGTTCCCCAGTAAGGTAATGGAGTTTTTCTGTCGGGGGAAAAAATGAAACATCCTAACCTGAGCAGTCAGTGGCAACAGCACTAGCCATGTGGTCCTAAATTCTCAGGCTCACAACCCTCTTGTCTACACTGCCCTAAAAAGGTGGTAAAACAGATAGTAGTGACAGTATTTTTTTAATTAACAGTGTGAAATATATGTTTGTGTGTAGAGGGAGGGGGAGAGGGGGGGGGGGGATAAGTGTTTGTGTGTGTGAGTGTGGAAGAGGAGCAGGGTCATGAGAGGAATTGACTGGAAGAGAGATAGAGAGCATGTGTGTTTGTGGTTTGTGTGTGTATGTGCTTTGTTTAGAATGCATTTTTATACTATGATAAATATTTGTGTGACTATATGTCAGTATTTTTTTATAATGAATGGAGACTCTATAAAGGCAGACATTCTTTAACTGACACAGATACTTCTATTGTGGTGGGTTTCATCATGCTGAATGAAGCACCAAGTATAAAAGGTGACCCAGGGAAGAAAAGAAGTGAGTATCTGTTGTTTTGTGCATTTGTACTGATGTTATTCAGAATCACGTAATTACATTGGAACCTCTAATTTCAAACGCTTCAGAATTTGAGTAAACTTTGCTCAAAACTGAAACGCTGCCTTGGAAACCGAACACCTGGCATTTACCAGCCATGTGCTGCCACTCTGCACTGCATAAGCTTAATTTTTTTTTCTCTTAGCTTTTTTTTTTTTTTTTTCAAATGTGTGCATAGTCATTTCTTTCTATAAAACATTTAGTAAAATTATTGCTGTTTTTTTTTTTTTAAATCTTTTTTTTTAATTTCTGTTTTTATTGAGATATGATCATTTGTTAGCATGATTGCAGTGTAGTTTATTGAGGAAAATAAATGTTAATATTTGAGTGTGTTGGACCCTGTAACTGAATCATTTAGTTTACATTATCTTCGGTGGGGAAAATTACCTTTATACTCAAACGATTTGGAAATCGATAACGGTCTTGGAACGGATCATGTTTGACTTCCTTGGTACCACTGTATGTCTTCTTGTTATAGTGTACCAGACAGTTCCTAGGAATTGTCCGTGAAGGAAAGGTGATCAAAAGGAACAGATCAGTCTACCTCAGTATGCCACAGACCTAGAATATGTGAAGTTATTATACTCACACACAGTTGCAGTAACTGCCATGTAGCTACCTTTATCATAAGTGTCATTTTTAAACAGGTAGTCACTTGGCAGACAATGTGAGAGTTAAATGAAATGTTGGGTTTTCTCATGATCTCAGCCATTGACATACTGAGATGGGGTGGTTAGTTCTCTTTACACCACTTTCATTTTCTAAACAGTTTCATGCAGACTGTGTGATAGCACTGTTTTGTGACTGGATTAGCCCAGAAGTGTCATACTTTAGTTGGAAACAATAATCCTGCCACTGCTAGGGATTCATCCGAACCACTGTTTGGGCAGGCAAGAAGCACATATACAATATTTCCTTATAGTATTATTTTACCGAGAAGGCTAACCTAGGCAACATGTGCCCGCAGAAGTCAGATCTTTTGGCCAGAAGCTGCAAAAATGACAGCCATGTTGTAAGCAGGCACAATTCCTTTACATCGTTGGATAAATGCATAAGTATTATTATAGTTTTTACTATTGCTGACATGATTTCTGTAAATAATCTACTTTTTTTTCTTTCCTAGTTGTTTCCCTGGTTGGACTTGGATGTGTAACAATTTTCTTCAGTTTACTGCTGTCTGTATTTAGATCGAAATATCAGGGCTATCCTTACAGGTAATCGTTGCGTTTGTTTTTGTACACCTTTTTTTTAGAATTGTAATGTATAGCTATTTTGATAGTTAGCAGCATGGTACTCTTTACTGTTATGCTTATGGAATATTCATTAGCAGCTTATTTGTTAACAAATATCAGGGGTTATAAAATTGTATTTAGTTTCTGGATATGCGGATGTAAAGAATAATTGGGGGGGGGGGGTGCTGAGTGGTCTCGAGGTATGGTGTCCGCCTCAAGTGCTGGAGGTTCCGGGCTCAAGCCCCAGTGAGGGCTGGTATTTTTACGTGGACTTTTAGTATTTTTTCCTGGTCTCTGGGTAGTAAGACCAGACACCCGAGTGTATTCTTGTGCGCGCAAAAAAATTCCTTGACAGTTGGAAATAGAAAAAATTGTAGCTTAACGGCACTACACAGACAAAATGTGGAGTTAAAATCTACCAAAAGTATTTCAGGATCTCTGCTGGTGCAACAGAGTTTGTGTACTGGGCTGAGATTCTTCAGACTTAGGCTGAGTTAGAAGAAGAACGGAGCACTTATGGGTTACACCCATGTGCCATGAACAATAAAAAATAAACATAAAGAAGAATAGAATGTATTGTAAGGTTGGAGAAAACCCAGTTAAAGACAAAGGTTCTGAAGAGACAAGAAATAAAAAAAAAGTTGCTAAAGGAAGTAAAACAAATTTCTGCTATGGCTGTTGAAAGCAGATGTGGGTTCTTAAAGCAACTAAACTCAGCAAAAAATAGGCAAGTTAAATATTTGGGCAATATTCAGAGACCTAACGCTCTTAGATTAAAGTTAAAGATGAGAGGATCAACTTCATTGCACTGGCTTTTATCCTGTATAACTTGGTCTATCGCCACAGAACGGCTAGACGCCTGTTGAGAGCACAGAGCACGAATTTCCTCTGTATAAAAATTGCCCTTGTAAACTGAACAATGCATCCATGAAATTAACCCTTCAGCCCGTGTTAGGCAAGCAAGGACCCTCATCAGTAATTGGGCTACAAGGCTATCTTCACGACTCTGAAACTAACCATTGAATCTCCTATTTCCTCCTTCATTTGTCATTACGAATGTCGTAGTTCAGTTTATCATTACGAAGGTCATAGCTCATTTTATTATCATTACAAAGATCAAAGCTCAGTTTATCATTATGAAGGTCATAGCTCAGTTTATCATTGTGAAGGTTATAGCTCAATTTATCATTACAAAGGTTGTAGCTCATTGTAGCTTAGTTTATCATTACGAAGGTCATAGCTCAGTGTGTCAGCTTATCGCTGCTGGAGACTGAAGGCATGGGTATATCAGAAATCACACATGCTATAATTGTGGGTGGGTTTTCAGTCTTGTCAGGGAAGTGGCCATATGGCTTTGCTGTTTATGCTTTCCAACTGCTGGAACTTCTCATGTACTCAGAACTTCCTGTTGTTCACCCTTGTCCAAGCAGGTTTAACAGCTTAGGGAGAAAAAAAAAAAAAGGCGGGGGGGGGGGGGGGGGGGGGGGAGGGGTAGCTTTTGTCAGGTTTCTGTGACAGAAATTGTCTTACTTGAATTCACATTGCACAATTTTTTTTTTCTGGCATATTTCGCTGTGTCTTATCAGATGCATTACTACAGAGATACATTAGCTTATAGTGAAGTACACAGACATGAATCTTCTCAAACTGAAATACACAGATCACATGGTCTCTTTCCACACTACACATCTCTTTCCTTCAGAAACCATCACCGGTGATCTTAAGCAGTGATTTTGCATCTCATTTAAATAATACATCCACTCACTTCACAGGTGGTTGTGGGAGATGACATTTAAGAAATTCACATCAATGTTTTCCTGTTGTGAATTTAAAAACAAACTGCATTCCACAGCTCATTGCCTGGGATGTTTTAAAACTTATAATCTTAAATGGGCATACTGTATTCATGAATTGATGTTGTTCAGATTATCTTGTATTTATTAAGTTTTGATGCTTTCTCTCTTTTGCAGTTTCTTATTCAAGTAGTGCGGATAGAGTTGTTACCAAGCTTCCAGTTATATTGTGTTTGGTTTTACAACATATTTTACATATTATTATGCAGTTTTAGTTTATTGCCGTCCAAAGATACTGGATCTACACAGCTGTCATGATCTGAATGACTTATGGATGGTTGTGTAAATGATTCAGAGCATCACATCAGGGAGGCAATTTGTTGCAGTTTTTTTTCTGAATTTGGCAAAGACAAGATACCAGACCACTCATTACATGATTTTTTTTTCAATGCATAAACAGTATTCTTGACTAAATTTGTGTTCCAACGGTTGATGCATTAACCATGTCTATTACAGTTGTTACTTTGTATGCTTCTGGTCTATATTTGAGCCATTTTAACCCCATTGAGCCAGTCTGTTTATGGCTTCAAAGAAGCAGCTACTTTTTACACAAACATTAATATAAGCCATATAGGACAGACTGAATTAAACACCCATGGTCTGGCCTGTGCTGTATAATACATTGTGTTTCTCACCCTTGCAGAGACCTAAAGAAGTGCAAATGAATTGTTCCTTGTTTTAGCAGTATTTGACTTTTTGATGTGAAATCGCTCATTACTCTAAACACTGAACTTTCCACATGATAGCATCATTATTGCATCTTGTTGCCGAGCTTTCCAAACTGTGTGTCATGTCACATTAGTGTGATGGCTGCATTATGAAGGTGTGTCACATGAACATAATTTACATATGTGTTTTTATTTCTTTTAAAAGACCCTTTTTCACGCCTTCAGGTGTATTGGGTATATAGGGCTCTTTGTCTCTAATGGGGGATATTTAACTCTCTGCTTTGATTGTAGAATGAATTACTTTGTAACAGAATTAATTTGTGCCTAAAAATGTGTCAGTGCCATGAAAAATTCAGAAAGCTTTGCCAGGTAAAACAGAAATTGACTGCCAAAGGTTGTAGTCTAAATGTTTTGTGTAGAACAGCAGAATGAATTTGATTTTAAGGAAGACTCAAATGAATAAAATTAGAAGAGAGAAAGTCCTTTTCATCCAGATACACTTTGCATATGAACGCCTACTTTTAATTCTGCACATGTTAGCCGTCATTGAAAGTAAGAAACTTATTGATTAGATGTATTGTGTTGTGATAGGTAGTCTACCACTTTTCCATAACAGTGAAAGATGTGTTATCTGTTTTCTTTTGAGGTTAAGGGTTTTCTTAACACACAACATCATCTGGTGTTCTTGTTTGCTAAAATTCAAACATAATCACTATCTAGTGCCATATCTACAATGAAGGTTGGTGACTAATCTGTTAGCAGTTTGTGTCCTGAGCCTCTGGTGCACACTCTGCTAGCAATGGTGTATGCCATTTATTTCTGACACCCCTCACTATTGCTCTTAACTTCCTTTCCATTATAATTTAGATTTTTTTTTTTTTTTTTTTTTGTAATTTCAAGTGACCAAAATATGTTTTTTTCTTTTTCCTGTCAGGGATGCTATTTTATGTTGGTCATTTTAGAACTTTCAGAAAGTGATGGGGAAACTACTGGTTGTGACTTTTTTGTTATAGGTTTCCGAATTTGTCAGTTTTTTTTTTTAAATAAAGAAACCCTATCTAGTCTTAAGATTGCATTTCAAAGCCTCAGTTTTATTCTCCATCTTGTCTCGAGTTTTTAATTGCTATTTCTTACAGTATTCTTAAATTTTGAACAGCCACAGATTTAGTTTCTTTGATATTGTATTTGGGACAAGATCATGTTTCTTGTGTTTGAATGTGCACTTTACCATTTTGATTTGTGTGTGGTCATTCCCAAATTTCACGTGCCATCTTTTGTCAGTGTTGGTCTCGGTAAATGTGGCTTTAAATATTTAAATATTTTTTTTTAAAGGGTTGTCATGTGTAAGGTGTCACATGTTGAGACTTTTCTTTCCTTTCAAGAGTATGGGCCTAATTTTAACTTATAAAAATGTAATACTATAGGTTTGGCTGTTTTTCTAAACCATTCTAAATGTAACCATTTTCTTTTACTTAAATGTCTGTGGTGGTGGTTTACTTTCTTCTTGAATGTTACATACAGAATGGACATGTACAGTTTAGAGTTATGAATTGTGGAACATCACACAAGTGCAGGAAACAGACTCTCAGGAAATGCACAACACAGTAGGATAGTTGGTCCATGCGTTTGCTAACTTCCAAGGGAAGCAGAAGTTATCAGATGCGGCTGGCCTGAGAATGGCTACACGCAGAAGTTATCAGATGCGGCTGGCCTGAGAATGGCTACACGCAGAAGTTATCAGGTGCGGCTGGCCTGAGAATGGCTACCTCATCCCATAGAAATCTTTGGATGCAGAATCCAGCCAGTGAGTGAGTTGTTGAAGACCTTTGCTCCAAAGATGAAAGGCAAAAGAAGTAGAATAGCTGGGTCAAATACTGATAAACTTGTTACCATTGGAATTGAAACTGCTCTTGCTGCTGAAGATGGAGATAGGGTGCTTATGGAAGTGTCCTGAGTGCTATGGTGTCGGTTCTCAATTCATACTGATAAACTGGCTGATCTTTGAGTATAGATATGAGAGGGTCTTCTGCTCTTGCAGCATTGTTTCATCTTTATCTTTTGAAATGACGGCCTAATGTATGACTAAATCTCCTGAGTGGGCTGAAACACTGTTGTTTGAGAGCATTGTCATGATTGTGGTAGGGGTGGGGGTAGGGTGAATGTGAGGCTGCTAGCAAAGCACTAAACATGTGACTGCCATGCTGTGCCCGCAGGCCACAGAGGCTTCATGAAATACCTGAAGTAGGGCAAGTGAGCCGGCTGAGGACCATCTGGACAACTGCCATATGGCCATCCATACTGCATGAATAGTGGTTTTAGTTATTATGTTAGAGTTAGCTAATATTTGAGTTGTTTAGAATGATGTAGCAATGAAAGGATTATAAAGTTAATAGTAACAAAACTGATCCTTGTGTGAATTGTGACCACATTCTCATACAGTTTGTCCTTATTGGCGTCTGACCGTGATTGCAGTGTTAATGTGTATTGAGTCTGTCAGCAATAAACTTTATCACATCACTCCTAACTCTTGGTATTTATCAAGCTGAGGAAGTCAGAGGCAAATGTGAGGAGCACAATTAAGCACGTCTATCGGCGCAAGTTGAATAACCCTAGTAAACACATGCTCTGACCTTGCCACCTGTCTTTCGACCCCTACCACAATCATGACAAGTATTTTGTTTTAATTTTGACCAGACAGTAGATTAACAATAAACCATGTAGGTTATAATGAATTCAAGATACAGCAGTAATCTCTATAATGAATTCAAGATACAGCAGTAATCTCTATAATGAATTCAAGATACAACAGTAATCTCTATAATGAATTCAAGATACAGCAGTAATCTCTATAATGAATTCAACATACAGCAGTAATCTCTTTAAGATTATTTGCAGCTTCTAGTACAAGTTTGTTTGCTTTATTACCCACTTTGGCATTTGTGGAGAGTGAACATTTTCTATGATTTCCATTTGATATTTAGATTGAAATTAACCTGGTTTAAATAATATATAGCAAAATATCTTGACCGTTTTTGTTTTACTGAATTTGCTTTTTGTTTTTTTTTTTTTTATTCAATTATCCATGTTCAAATAAAATTTAGCAAAACACCTTGGCCTTTTTTTCTTGTAAAAGATTTGCTTCCTTTTGTTTTGCAGTTATCCTTGTTCAAATAAAATATGGCAAAACATCTTGTCCATTTTTGTTGTACAGAATTAACTTTTATTTTGCGGTTATCCTGGTTTTAAAAAATATACAAAAAGTCTGGATCACTTTTATTTTAATGTTTGTTATCCTGGTAGCAAAGTTTTTTGTTTTTTTTTGGGTATATGTTCATAAAATTTGTTTTTTAAATAATTTTTTTTTAAATTATCATCATGATCAGCTGAACTCAACAGCATCATAAGATGCTCCGCAGCCTTGATGGTATGTAGTTACCTGCACTTATCTTTTGGCTTCATAATCCCTTTTGACCCTCTTTTAAAAGTCAACTCTGGTGCTTGACCCTGAAGTGAAGGCTCAGATGTCCCATTTGGAAGGGCTAGCAATACACTGGGACAGCCCTCAAGTGTGTTTTTTGTGACCAGCCCTTATAAATTCTCTAGGAGAAGTACCTCAGGGCAAATTAAACAGACATAAACCATACACAGGAGTTATATTAAGTGATTGCCCAGCAGGTTTCCGACAGAGCAATAGATCAGGAGTTCATTTCAAGATAAATAGCAGAGAAATATTCGGAATAAGAAGAGATTTACACAGTATGTTTGTGGATTTAAAAGAGAAAGTATACTCAGTAATAAACTTCAGAATTCTGTGTCGAAATTTAGAAAATCAGAGAAGATAATCAGAATGACCAGACTATAAAGTACCCTATGCAACATAAAATTTAACCAGAAACAACAGAGGCAATGGAAAAATAGGCACAAATACAGCCAAAATTTCAACCAACTGGCAGATTTTCAGCTGCCAATTTTGGCCTGTATTTACCACATTTGTGGAGGGGGAGGGAGGGAAGGGTCTTTGAGCATGAGGATTTAGGGTCACAAGGCTAGTGCTGTCGCCACGAGCTGTACAGGCTATAATCTTAATTTTGCTTCCAACTGAAAAAAAGAAAAAGCCCAGAAAGTTATTAAAAATATGAAGCATTGAGAAGCCGCAGGTCTGGATAAAATAACAGCAGAAATGATAAAATCCCTCTCCAGCTTTGCCCTGGATAGCATCATTGAAATATGTAATGATAATTATAAAATTGGCTACATTCGAAAAGATTTAAAAATGACTATTTTCATCACACTGCCCAAAAAGTCACAAGCCATTGAGTGTGAAGATTATAGAACCATTAGTTTAATGAGCCATATAACTAAAATACTTTTCAAGATCATTCTTCTTTGCGTTCTGTTTCATATGCTCAGATCAGACCGTCAGGTGGGTTGCCTCTATGAACTCACATGTCAGCAGCAGGTCCTT